GCCATGGAAGGAGAATTTCGACTAACGCTCAAAACGGTATAACCGCTTAAATTAACATGGATTAATAACAATAAGCCATCGCGCCAAGAAGCAGTAGTGATAATGAGGCTTTGTTCGGGACACATTCCATCTAAGAAGTTTGCATTTCTCATGAAAAAGGTCCAGTCACCGAAGATTAAAACCGTTTCCCAGGAACAAATACATGTTTTAGTGGAGTGTGCCGACAACGCTGCCTTTCGTATTGAATAAGTGCCACCATTTTTAAGACTGCTGCTTGTTATATATAATTTTAGCTAATGCATATTCTGATGTTGTAAACTTGTTAAACAAATTGTACAGGGTTGAAGTTCTCGGAACGATTTTTAAATTTCAAATGTTTTAAAACAATATTTTGATTTAATGAATATAGTATTTGATAAACAAACATTTAGATATTAAACCAAATGAATCTTGCAACAGAAAGTGGCTGCAATATTGCGCAGTCACACATGCCAGATGAGTTGCGCAGGTGTATTCGACTGATAAGGATTAATAGTCGTCTCGTCTTATTGGAAAATAGTTAACATTGTGCGGCTTATTTAACTCGTACAGCACAGACGTGGATTTAGGAAAATTTTATTTATCCTATCGAATGACCTATTAAAACTATGAATTAAATGAAACTAATTTAACACATTTTATGGCGCTTAATTTAATTCTCGACGTTTGAATTGCTCGGGATCCTACAATTATCAAAATAAATTCCAAACCCAAGCATACCACTACAAGACTTCAAGATACTGTGAGCTCGTTCTGAGTAGACCCGACGAAAAGTTCATAGTTTAACATGGGCTAACTATGGCATCGGGATGTCAAACATCTCAGTCCTTCCTGTGAACATAGGTGCTGTAAAGCACACGAAACGTCGGGAATGAAATATTTTGTTTTACATGGTAGAGCTATGCTGCAGCAATATTGTGCTTGCAGCACGAATGGGTCGGCTCGACCGGGGAAGGACCACGCTCTCACAGAATACCATCGTAAAATAGCAGCTTAGTGCTGCTGTGTTTCGTATGGTGAGTGTAGAGAACCAGAGACCCTTTTTACAGGAAACGAGGCATTCCATCTCAGTCTTCAGGGCTGGCAACGCATTCGCTTCTTTTGATTTTTAATTAAAGATAAATGTAGATGTCTATGGGCCACAGCATCCACTTACTATAAGGTGGACTGTGTGCTCGTTTGTCACCCTTATTCTATATAAAAAAAAACTATAATATCCGTGAAATTAGTTTCATTTAATGTGTATTTGCGTAAATGTAAGAAATCATTATATTAAAACTACATTTTTGTACTTTATAAAATATGTCTATTATAAATTAATAATATATAATAGACATATTTTATATGACGATCTGGTAAGATATACATGAAATTGATGGCTGCAGGCGGCTCAGAATCGTACATTGTGGCATTCCTTTGGGGAGGCCCATGTTTAGCAGTGCACTTGTGAAGGGCTGCAATGATGGTGATGATGAACTTGTAGCGTGTTAGACGCACTGGAATTGGTAATTGAAATTTTAGGCTAATGATGTTTTATTTTCCTCCTATGCTTCATATAGCCGCATTGTAAGAGCATAAGCCCATATCATCCCACGAGATGATATGGGCTAATGCCGTCACAATACGGCCCCGTCCTATGGGTGTGGTATTAAGGCGACAAAAAGAAATGTATCCGAAGATGGGCAGCAACATCTTTCTGATTAAAACTCAATAATAAATAAAAGACTATAGTTGCCAACCCGTCTGCCAAGCGGGGCTTCTGTGCCGAATAATCCTCCTATCTATCCGCTATCTATGGGGGAAATATATGTTTAGCAGTATCATTTTCATGGGATGAATTAATTTAATGCAGTTCTTGGTGAATGTAAAGGCCATAAAGATGGCATTTTAGAGAGACTCACTGGCACTGCGTAGTGATGTTGCATCTCTTTACGTATTTTATCGCATTTACCACGGGGAGTGCTTTGAGGAATTTGGAATTGTTTGGACTAATTCCAGTCACACATTTTCATCATCGGTAATCGTGACAAAACTCGCGATACCATCCATACCATCTGGATGACTGGCGGTCCAACACTGTGCGATTTAAAAGAAGTTTTCTTCCTCGCACGATTTCCTTGTGAAATCGACTACCACCAGAGATTTTTTCGGACCGATACGACTTAGGGACCTTCAAGAAAAGGGCCTACTCCATTTTTAAAGGACGGCATCGCATCTACAATTACACTGGTGTTGCATTTGTTCATGGGCGACGGTAATCACTTACCATCAGGGGAGCCGTATGCTCGTTTGCCACCTCTCCTATAAAAAAAGAATAATTTAGAAAAACATTTTACGCCCACACTTTTGCAGCTTTGCGCTTTTTTTAGCGCTTTTTTGACAAGCTCGTGGAAACTGTCCATGAGGTCGGAGCTAAGTTCTGCAAGACTCGCCGCAGAAGAACACAAAAACTCTCCGATCACACTCTTAATCTCATGGCTGTTATACAGGCAACTGAACAGACAGATCTCCAAATGCATAGAGACTTACGCAATTTTAATACTGCTCGTATTAAAGAAGCGATCGAGCGGAACCAGGGCTCCAAAGTCTTTGCCAGAGATCTGTCTGCCAGAAAGAGCCAACTGTCAAAGCTGAATACTGAGTGTGGCAGCATCGTTTCCAAGACACCTGAGATTTTGAGTGAGATTGAGAGGTTCTATGGGCAGCTGTACACATCATCGTTGGAGCCACACGCAAGTGTGAGTAACGATCCAAGAGCAAATCTTACCCGACACTATTCCGATGATATCCCGGACGTCAGTCTGAGCGAGATTAGAATGGCTCTCCAGCACCTTAAAAACGGCAGGGCCCCAGGCGAGGATGGAATTACAGCGGAGCTTCTGAAAGCGGGTGGAACACAGGTACTTGAAGTCCTTCAGAAGCTCTTCAATTCCGTCCTCCATGGTGGCACTACTCCGCAGGCGTGGTCTTGTTCTTTAAGAAAGGCGACAACGCTCTCTTGAAGAACTACAGACCGATTTCCCTTCTGAGCCGCGTCCACGTGCTGTTTTCGAGAGTCATTCGTATTGACTTCTTCGTCTCTCACGCAGACTCGACGACTTCCAGCCTCTCGAACAAGCCGGTTTCCGAAAAGGCTTCAGTACCATAGACTACATACATACCCTGCGGCAGATTGTACAGAAGACCGAAGAGTACAATCTGCCACTTTGCCTGGCGTATGTGGACTATGAGAAAGCCTTTGATTCCGTCGAAATTTGGGCGGTGCTACAGTCCCTTCAGCGGTGCCAAGTTGACTGTCGGTATATCGAAGTGCTGAAGTGTTTGTACAGTAGGGCTACGATGGCTATCCGAGTACAGAATCAGAGCTCGACCTATCCAACTGCAGAGAGGTGTAAGACAGGGTGACGTTATATCCCCGAAACTCTTCACCGCTGCGTTGGAAGATGTTTTCAAGCTACTGGACTGGAAAGGATACGGTATTAACATTAATGGCGAGTACATCACTCACCTTCGATTTGCCGACGATATAGTCCTTATGACAGAATCGCTAGAGCACTATGCTCAATGACCTCAATGGTGTCTCCCAACGGATAGGTCTTAAGATGAACATGGACAAAACAAAGATCATGTTTAATGTCCATGTCTCACCTATGCCGGTGGTTGTTGGGAGCACTATGCTCGAAGTTGTTGACGAGTACGTTTACCTGGGACAAATAGTCCGACTAGGTAAGTCCAACTTCGACCGAGAGGTCAATTCGACGGATTCAACTCGGCTGGGCAGCGTTTGGGAAATTACGACACATCTTCTCGTCAGGTATACCTCAATCTCTGAAAACTAAAGTGTACAACCAGTGCGTGTTGCCAGTGATGACTTACGGAACAGAGACGTGGTCGTTCACTGCTGGCCATATGAGGACACTCAAGGTCGCTCAGCGAGCTTTGGAGAGGGCTATGCTCGGAGTTTCTCTGCGTGATAGACTCAGAAATGAGGATATCCGCAGTGAAACCCGAGTGACCGACATAGCCCAACGGATTAGTAAGCTGAAGTGGCAATGGGCCGGCCATATAGCTCGAAGAACCGATAACCGATGGGGAAGAAAGGTTCTCGAGTGGCAGCCTCGTACCGGTAGGCGTATGGTAGGGCGACCCCCCACTAATTGAAGTGACGACCTGGTAAGACATGCAGGAAGTCGATGGATGCAGGTGACTCAGGACCGTGCTTTGTGGCGTTACTTGGGGGAGGCCTATGTTCAGCAGTGGACTTGTGAAGGGCTGTAATGATGATGACACTTTTGCAGCGTTAAATATGTTTTTCTGTTTCATAATCATAATATATATTAATAAATCAATATTCAACTGCTTCATAACTGTATTTCATACCTAACAAATCCCTGGGACGTTTATTAGGCTATTAATATATTTTAATATTTAAACTACGAAAATCTAACAATATTAGATATAAGTAAAGATGATTTAATTTCCGTACAACATTATTAAACTATAATTGAAGCTATATGAAAGTGTTCCGTGTATTTGTTATGTGAATAGGACTCAAGTTTGTGTGTGTTTGTGTACCACGTGTGTGATTATCTACCACGCGTTCGACAGTAAAGGAAAACGAAATACATAGGATTTTTGAAGTTTTTTCAATAGAAATTAGGGCTGCGTAGTAAACCCTACATCGCCATGCACCATTTAAAACGAAGGGAGACTTTGTCTTAGCCGTGCACTACACATGTTACATTTTACTTATAATACCTAAGTTTGGAAAACCGTACTTACATGAACATATAATTAAAGTTGTTCTACAAATTTTCATATATTTATAATTAAAAAAGTCGTCGCCAAATACGTCCCCTGGTTCAGAACAAAGAATCTCTGATGCATACGAACATAAAACCATATAAAACCTAGATCTATCAAGTTACTTGTACATTTGGCGTGACGTAGAATTATCCACCATGGACGCGAAGTTGGTGCTGTTCTTAATCGCTTTGTTTTTATTTGTGCAGCGTCATGCAGAAGCTGGTAAGTTGTTTAAAATTTATTTTAAAATTTATTTTTACCAGGTGATTAGGACTCTGTTTCTGGCTAGAAGTTCGTCTGGTTAGATGTCACCCCCTTCCCTTTCTCTGTCGTCAAGCAGTAGTGAGTGCACTGCCGTGTTTCGGTCTAAAGGATATAAGGAGTCAGTATAATTAACGTGTGAGATATTCCATCTTAGTCCTCAGAAGTGACAACGCGTCTGTTGCTTTCTTTGTTTGTAGGTTGCAAGGATCCAGAGGTTGCAAGCTATAAGTGTAACTGTCACGTGGTTTACGATTTCGTTAGTCATTACATTTTTATAAAGAAATTGAATAAATAATCTCGTAGTATATACGTGGTTTGCGTATACGTGGTAGAGCCATGCTGCAGTTACATTAGTAGTACTTATAGATGTAGCACGAATGGGTTGGCTCGACCAGGAAGGACCACGCTCTCACAGAATATCAGCGTAAAATAGCAGCTTAACGCTAATGTGTTTCGTATGGTGAGTGTAGAAAACCGGAAATCCTTTTGCTGAAAACGAGGCATTCCATCTTAGTCTTAGGCTCTTAGTAGTACTTCCATCCTCACGGATGACAACGCATTTGCATTTTGATTCGTATTTGAGGACAGATGTAGATGTCTATGGACCACAGCAACCACTTATCATCAGGTGGACTGTGTGCTCGTTTGTCACCCTATCCTAATAAAAAAAATTATAAAGGCCTCCCCAATAGATTGTCTCGTAGGGGGATTCTGCCTTACTTTCTGGTTGGCTGGTTTGTTGGCAACCGCAGCTCTTTATTATGTTGAGCTGTTATCAGGAAGTTGCTGCTACCCATCTTCAGTTTAATTATCCTCTGTCACCTCTTACAAAATCACGGAAGGAAATGGGGTAGTGGACCTTCTTACACAGCCACTACACGGTGAATCTGGTAGCATACATTTGAGTAATGTATGCTACCAGCTATGAAAAACGGCGCTGAATAATAGGGCGGCATGAATGTGTACGGGAAAACGTTCATTGGAATAGTTACATCGGCATATTGAAGGGAAAGACATGCCAAAGGATGCCGTCATTGAGTTATATGTACTACGTACTAGAGAAGCTATTCCAAACTAAAAACGTGCACTACTCTGTATCCGCACATGCGCGGGAAACAGTAGAGTCGCGCATGCGCAGTTAGTATAAACGCGCGAAAATTGTCATAATAAATTATTGTTTATTTAGATTGTATTGTTAATCGAGTACATTTTTTTAAGTTTTGTTTATTTTGCATATGTGCTAATTTAATATAAAATAATCACTAGCGCCGCTCCGCACTGCATGAATATCGAAGCCACATTAACAGGTGTACGGTACGGATTCAGTTGAACGTAATGAGTATTCGGTATTGCCATATCTAGTGCGTAGTACATATATACATATATATATATATATATATATATATATATATATATATATATATATATATATATATATATATATACATATATGGATGCCTTCGAATGTAAAAATATTTTGTCCAACTTTTGACGTCAATACTGTTGGATCTGTATGTGATTGGTACTCACGCGAAGAAGCGTCTGCAGTAGCTTGAAGTAAACCACGTAAGGCTTTGACGTGTCGTGACAAGGCAAATATGAGAGTTAATGATATTAAAATAATATTTTAAATCACTTCTTTATGCCCGATCTCACCATTTTGTCAGTAAGCGCCAGCAATTACGGCTTAAGTCTGTATAGAGAATTTCTAACGTGGTAGAGCAACACTGCAACTATATCACAGCCGCAACACGAATAGGTCGGCTCAGACAGAGTAGGATCTCGCTCTCACAGAACACCAACGTGAAATAGCAGAGTAAAGCTGTGTTTTGCATGGCGAGTGTAGACAACTGGAGACGCTTTCAACTGGTTATAACACACTCGATCTCAGTCCTCAGGGGTGACAGCGCATCTGCATTATATTTGTAATTGAGGATTGATGTAGATGTTTATGAGCACATAAACATCTACATCTACCGATATATCTACAGATACCTATTAAATAGTCTTTTAATAGAAATGTCTGAAATTGAAAACAGTTTGAATTCCAATTGTAATAAAGCGCGGAGATTATGCACACATTAAGTATTTGTTTTGGTGATAGAATCTTGGCAATTAGATAAAATGCAAAATGACTACATAAGGATATGTAAAGTGTGCTTATGGTAATTAATATGAAACAGTTATACAATGAACCTTAAGAGAACCAGTATTATATCTTATACAAAATGAATATTCTCGTAGAATTCTCGTATAATAGAAATATGCCAAAGAAACCGGAAGAATTAGAAGCTTTAGGTCTTAAATGCATTCCCGGTCATACGTTCATAAAAATTGGGGCAAGTGTGGAAGAAAAAGTGAAAAATGACGATTCAGAAGAAGAAGATGACGATGTTGTATCCGAAGCAAGGAGGACACACATGAATACGCAAACTAAAGATGAAACTTGTAAAATTTGCGTTTGCTCTGTTGAGGGAAAAGACGAATACTGCAGCAGAAGACCGGCGAGAAATGTGAACGAATGTATTAGAATGAGCATGTTGGTTGAAGGTTTTCATAAGAATGTTCCGTATGAACTTGAACGGTCACTATCCTACAGAATAAGAAGAGGTTTGTTTATAAAAAGCGGGTTAAGGCAGTTGATAGAACCGTTTCTAGGTTTAACTTTGTAACTTCTTAAAGGTTGTGATTACCAAGCAAGACTAGTAGCAAGGTAGATACAATGTGTTTATGATTAATATCTATATTAAAACTAGTAGTTTTAAGAAACACATATTTTATCTATTGTTTTTATGTTTGGAACCAGAATTTAGTTACATTTGTATCTCTCAATTTAAATCACAGATTACATCTGGCACAAAGATGAAATTCCTTACTCTCCAAGCGCACTTTGCTATCGAGGAACTTCCTACTACACGAATAACATTAAAGCGGATGCGACTCCAATAGAGGAGCAAATGAAAGTCGATTCACCATTGGATTATGCCACAAAGGGTGTTTGTTATTACTGCGTGTGTTCTATGTCCGGTGCGGCGGTTGGGTGCATAAGTAGAAATACGTGGTTCTGCGACTATTACCGAATCATCAAAAAACCTGATAGCGCCAGAGATCGTTACAGAAACTTGTTCAAACAAGATAGACCCGCATATTTTAGACAGTTGTCGTATCGAATTAGAAGAACGATGGACGAAGGCCTCATTGAGTTACTTGACAACGGTATGGGTTTGAGAAATTTGGTACGCACGGCACTTATATTGGGTTTCTTCTATTCAACATAAAATGTTATATATTTGGTAAAACTTATAGTATATGTTTGGTACAGTAGACTTAGATTGTTTTTAGTTTTTAGAGGCTTATTTTAATAATGGTGTAAATATGAAGAAAATTACATTACTTTAGCATAACGTGTTGTCTTCTGCTACCAATCTAAATTTTAATTGTGAACGATTTCAAAGCGTTAATTTCCCGAAACTTTTGATATTAGAAAAAATTTTTTGCGTATTCTTTTCCTTTTGTACACAAAAGATTGGTCCTTGCAGGAGGCGACACGTTGTGCTGCGGGCATCCAAACGGTCATCGAAGAACTCTTCTTGAAGGAGTGAGGAACAGGATACGTGTACTGCGAAGAAAAATTCCGAAGGAAAACATATTATCTGGAAGTCCTGCAGGAGATTACGTAGATTTTATCGTCAACAATGATAAGTAACGCACAGCATTACTCGTCATTGTATAAAGATTCTCAAGCGTAGATTATATAGATATAAGAGTACAATATTGAGAGTCATCGAACATCTTTAAATTTCTTAGACACAAGAAGAAGTCAGAAGCCTGCAGTGAGACAGCAATAAGGCTTACCACGAAAATACAGATAAATTTACTACTTTTTAAATAATGTGACTGAAGAAAGTGAACAATGTTGTCTGAGACATTTGTGGCTTTAGTGTGTTTGTTGTTTTTTACTTTTATACTACAATTGCGTGATTATTCATTAAAGTATTTTATGTAAAACTTAAAGTGATGTGTTTCAATGTGACCGTGGATGGTTTTATGTTTAGTTGTCTTAGTAATCACAACTTAACACCCACTAAATTGCACTCTTTTCCAAGATGTTTTGCGCACGCGTCTATCACCTGCACTAGCCCGTTATTTATCATTTACTGCACATTTAATTTTATCAAAAACGATGTTCGTATTACTTATTTTAGCAATAAGAAAATCGCTTATATTTTGATAGTTTTATCAAAATTTAGGCACCTTTTTAACTTCACCTTGTTAGAATTTAGTCACTATGTTTGATGATTAAAAAACTGAAGAAATAGGTATATTTGGGGATGGTTGCAGAGACAGTACAGGTTAGTCCACTTTTTCTTCCTGTGAAATTACCTCCAGAGGAAATCATGGTACTTGTTAGTCTATTTATCAATGATTTACTTCTTATTTATTATATTAACATGATCAATATAGAAGAGTAGATAGTAACTCCTACGAAATATGATGCGATTCGATATTAAAATAAAATCATTCGAATCACAAAGTGTTTGATAAAATAAAGACTGTTATTTTATGTTTTTGATCAATGATGATGAAATAAATATAACATAAAAGGACAATGTAGAAATAGTGAGCTTCGCAAGTATCCATATTGCCCATGTTTATAAAATAGACTCGAAAACGAATTGATATTTTAATCAGACTGGTTATGAAGAAGTGGAATCAAAACAATTGTTTAAGTTTGTTTACAAAGTTACCATAATATAAATTGGCAGGTCAATCAATAAAATGTAATATGCAAATAATAAAATTGATCAAAAAAAGAAAAATTAAGAAAAGTAAGGTCAAGAAAAATTTAATAGGGATAAAATGGACTAACCTGGTTATAAACTGCTGGTTTATGTTAAACAGGCAGCTAAGACTTAACTAACGTAAAATAGGTATAATATGGATTATTTACACAATCTGAAAGGGAACAGAAAGAATACAAAGGTAACAAAACTTCGACAGAAAACTATTTATTATGGGTGGGTACAGGTAATTTTAATATTTTATAGTTTTAAATTAGTTATTTTTCAAGCATATTTTTTGTTCGTTTTTTGAATAAATATTTTGTAAGCCTTTTTCCTGATTTCATAAACACTTGTACTAGTTTCACAATATTTACTAAACTACTACACTTTGGATGCTATTCTAATCTACTGAGGACCAATTAAAGAAACTTGAGCGTGTTCAGAATTTCGCTATTAGGTTCATATTTGGCCTCTGCAAATACGATCGTTTCCGAGTTTCGTACTAAACTCAAGTGGCTTCTCATCAGGCTTTGTCGGAATACTCACGTTCTATCTCTACTGTACTGTGTTCTATTTGATCCTAAAACACCGAGATATCTTAAAGAAAAATTAGTTTGCGGGTGCAAATAAAGATTATTCCTGATTAGTCGATAAGGTGCTCTACTACATTAAATATATAACTTATTAATTTTTTTTCCAAAAATATTCATTTTACTTTAGTCGTGGTAGTATAATTTTCTACCCTTTCATATTTCATAAATGTCGTTTTTAGTAATGTTTATACGTGGTGTAGGTTTAAGAAGGCTATAATATTGTTACGAGCTTAGGGTTCGTGACAATAAAAATTGCCGATAGAATTCCCAAAATTAACTCTTTAATTCACTTTACACTAATTAAACTTAAAACACTAATAATTAATCACACTGATTCACTTAATTTTGCTCCGAAGCTTCGCTTGTCTCGCCAAATTCAATACTTCCCCGATCGCACCTTGTAGCGCCTATAAATACACATTAGCACCGAAACATCCAGAATATTCAATTAAATACGCGCAAGGCGTCGAAAGTTCGAGTGTCGGCTTCTAGAAGCTTAGTTCTTCGTTTCGACACCAGATGGCGCTGTCGGTTGAAAGATTAGTGATGTCATTTTCTGGAAAGCTCCCCCCGCTCTCGTCCCTGACACTACATGACGTCAACTTAGGCGCGCAGCACTGCCCTCTCCAAAGACATGCTCGTCCCGAGCATTATCGGCCCCATAATAACGCGCCAAGCGATCCACATGGACGATCTTAGGAGTCCCTCTTGCGCCTTTCTGTATCCGGTAGGTTACATTTATTTATTTATTCTTTATTGTACACACAATAAGTTGGTAACAATTATTAAATATTTAAATAAATGTACAAAGGCGAGCTTAACCATAATAAGAGTTCTCTTCCAGCAAACCTATTGGGAAAGAGAAATAGTTTTATATATAAAGCAAGTAGGTAGCAGCGTGCGTACTTAATAATTAACATAACGCTACTTAATAGAAATTGGCTATAAGTTACAGTTAACAATTAACATATAAGTAATTACATCGTTGATCCTGGTTACAATCCGGTACGGGCCGTCCCATTTAGCTTGAAGCTTAGGAGATTTCCCTTTGCTGCGGACTGGATTGTGTAACCACACTAGTGAACCTTCGTCGAACCCTTTATTGTTCATTTTGCGGTCATACCGGGTTTTCATCTTCTCAGACATTTGCTGGCCCGATTGTCTGACGTGCTCATAAATGTCATTCATTTTATTCCGCAAGTCATTTGCATAATCGGTTATACTGCGTGGGGCATCATGTGGTATCCCAGTGATCAGGTCTGCAGGCAGCCGTAATTCTCTTCCAAAGTTTGCGAAGGCTGGTGTCACTGCTGTGCTTTCGTGAACAGCGTTTCGATATGACAACAACAAACGGTTGTATGTGCTTGTCCCAATCTCGTTGCCGATTGTCTACAATGTCTGATTAAATCGTTCTACCATTCCATCAGATTGCGGGTGATAAGAAGTCGTTCTTGTTTTATGAGTACCCATAACTCGGCAAGTTTCCTGGAATATTTGAGACTCAAAATTCCTTTCTTGATCGCTGTGAATCTCTAAAGGTACTCCAAAACGACAGAAGACTTCATGAACTAGTTTATCTGCAACTGTTGAACCTTCTTGATTTGGAATGGCGAAAACTTCTGGCCACTTAGTGAAGTAATCCATCACAACCATGAAATACTTGTTACCGCTTTCACTCTCCGGAAACGGCCCCGCCACGTCAATGGCTATTCTCTCCCATGGTGCACCAACATTGTACAACTTCAACGCACCTCTACTACGAGTCTGAGGTCCCTTTGCAGCCGCACAACTTGTACATTTGCGACACTTCACTTCAGTAGAGTTCGTTTAACTCCCAGATGGCCTCCTGAACAATCATTATGGTACAGCTGTAGAACTTCCGGTACTTTAGCTTTAAGGGCAACCATTTGCAAATGACAGCTGTCTCCCCGAACATTTTCCCATTTACGGCACAGAACTCCATCCTGAAGCAGCAAGCTGTCCCACTGGGCCCAATAGCTTTTAGTGGTCAAACTCATCGCTGACACGTCGCTCCACTTGGGCTTGGGAGCACTGGCCTTCATCCATTCCAGAATCGGCTTGATGTCCGGATCTTTCTGCTGTGCATGTTTTAAGCTGTCTTTCCACTCGTTGCTGAGGTGGTCTGCCCTGAGCATCCTTACGGATACCACTTCCTTACTCTCTTGCCTAGTACAATGTCTGCAATCTTCAGGACAAGGTCTTCTTGACAATGCATCTGCGTTGCCATGAGATTTCCCGCTGCGATGTTCGATCTCAAAGTCGTATTCCTGCAGTAGTTCAATCCACCTCGAAACTTGTCCTTCTGGATTTTTAAACTGCAATAGCCATTTTAGTGCAGCATGGTCGGTTCGTAAGTGAAATTTTCGCCCCAGAAGATATTTGCTAAAATGCTGCAACGACTTTACCACAGCTAGCAATTCGCGTCTTGTGACACAATAGTTCCTTTCCGGTTTTGAGAACGACTTGTTGAAGTACGCTATCACGACCTCTTGGTTACCATTCCGTTTAGACAACACACCGCCAAGTCCTATATCACTTGCGTCTGTGTTAACTATAAATTCTTTGCTTGCATCAGGGTATCCCAAAATAGGTGTTTTGCACAGACGGTCCTTGAGATCCTGGAATGCGATATTGCAACTTTCATCCCAGCAGATATGTCGCTTCTCCTCGGTTAGCTTATGCATAGGTTTGGCTATATCTGCAAAGTTCTTCACAAATCGCTGGTAATAGGAGCACAAACCCAAAAATGCTCTAACCTGCGTCTTGTCTTTTGGGACCGGCCAATCCTTGACAGCGGCGATTTTCTCTGGATCCGTGCGGATACCTTCTTCCGATACTACATACTTCATTCAATACTTTCCCGATCGCACCTTGTAGCGCCTATAAATACACATTAGCATTCAATTAAATACGCGCAAGGCGTCGAAAGTTCGAGTGTCGGCTTCTAGAAGCTTAGTTCTTCGTTTCGACACCAGATGGCGCTGTCGGTTGAAAGATTAGTGATGTCATTTTCTGGAAAGCACCCCCCGCTCTCGTCCCTGACACTACGTGACGTCAACTTAGGCACGCAACAATATACAGCCGAAGGAAAATAAAAGCTGCCTCTTCATACAAATTTCGCCTCTACCTTGTACATTTTGTACTTTACTATCACTTTTACTACTATTTTTACTGAAGCAAGGATATTTCTTCTTTTTTCTATCCATCTTTTTCTGTTTTTTTGGGTAATAAATTATATATAAAACTAAAAATATATAAAATATACCAAATATAAAAGTCCAAGTCAATTAATCTAATACTAATATAAACACTAAAAACTAGAACTAATATGACAACTAAAAAAATAATATATATTTAAGTAGAGCAACTTTCACGATATGCTCCTCTCAGTCCATAAGAGCTGCGAGAGGGAAAGAGATCACCCGTGCGAGCGAGAGGTAAAGTAACGTTGAACAACACTACACACGTCTGAACGCCGAGAAATCCCAGCGGAACTGAGAGAATTTTCAGGCTTTTCTGGTTTATAAATGGCATATAGGTAAAAAGTACGAAAATGTATACGTTTTTAATTTTATTTATTTTGTTCTTTTTTATGTGGTTTTAAGTACGACTTTGCTACATTTATACTTCTAATAGAAAAAATAGATATTTGCATTAAAAAAAATCATGAAATTACAACTTTTTAAGCCCTTCAAATAAGAAAATTAAAGCATTTATAAAAAAAGTGACCAGATCAAATTATTGTAGACAATATGGAAATAAATGTATCTGAATACTTTTCTTGATATTGTTATAGTTTGTACATCGCAGAGGCTTTAATAAGACCTTTTACGCATGTAACCTAAACATAGGCATGTTTAACGCCTAATAGAGCTATTAATTTAAAAACCAAGATAAAATTAAAAAACAGTTTCGAAAATATCAAATCCTACACTTTAAATAAATGTAAAATATGTTTCACTTTTTCTTTTTGAAGTACTATAAAAAATATTTTTTAAATTTTGCGAGAACACTAATTTTTACAAGGCTGGGGCCTTAATATATACTTGTTTGTCTATTATTTATGCATACTACTATATGTTTAAATGAAAATGATCTCCTTCACCAAGGTTTGCCGGGAAGAGATCGCTGTTTAGCGATAAGGCCACCTAATTGTACATTTTATAAATTTCAATTTTGTTGTGTTTTGTAATTTTTTTTGTGGGCAATAAAGAGTATAATGATAATAATAATACTGATTGACTGATAATGATTGACGCTGTGGTCACAGAGCAGGCATATCATAAGATGCGGAATGCCCATATGACATATATAGACTATCACAAAGCATTTGATTCTGTGCCACATTCCTGGCTAGTCAAAGTTCTCGAATTGTATAAGATCCCTCCCGAGATAACATCACTGCTTCAACAACTTATGTCTTGCAAGAGACTGACAGGTATCCCTCCAAATTCAAGACCAGCTCAGTTCTCCAGTAGAAATACCAACCGAGTCCTGTATCAGAATATGATAAAGTACAGATTTACTGGGACAGATCAATTTTTACGGATCGATCAATTTCCCACAACCGGCCGGATATTGTGCCGATTGACAAAGAAGTGAAGCGGACTTATTTGATTGACATTGGTGTTCCCAACTCACACAACATTCAACAATACTACATAGAAAAAATTTCAAAGTACCAACCACTTGCTGAAGAGACAAAGCATATGTGTCGGCAGAATGAGGTAATTAAAATTCCGCCTATCCTCTCAACTACAGGTATTATACCAAAACAGCTAAGTAGCAACCTTGAAAAATTGGGCTTAGCAATATCTATGCTCTACAAAATTCAAAAGGCTGTAATCTTGAGGACAACTGCCATTGTCAGGAGACATTTAACCTTGTAACCAAATAATTTCCTTAACATCTTGCCGTTAAAGCTGATTTAAGGATCATCAATATCACCCCATAAAGAGGAGTTACCGATAAAAATATAATAATAATTAAAATACTATAATGAAAGGAGAAGGAGCTCCACAGGAGGTTCTACAAAGCTTTTCATGAGACTTTCGTAGATACTGTAGCCTCCCTCCACTGTTTAAGCTTTGGTGACCTCTTCGGAGAAACCGAGGATTTTGTCTGTGCAATACAGGATCAGGTTATTAAGACCAACAACTATCGGAAATACATCCTTAAGGATGGCACCGTTGACATCTGTCGAGCTTGTCACCATCCCAGTGAGTCACTTAGGCGTGTCATCTCCGGTTGTTCGGCGTTTTCTAACTCTGAGTACTTGCACAGGCACAATCTAGTAGCTAGAAGACTTCACCAGGAGTTCGCTCTGAAATACGATCTCATGGACCGGAAATTGCCGTATTACAAGTACTAGCTGGAAGCCGTGCTCGAAAATGATCGCGTCAAGCTCTACTGGGACCGGGCCATCATCATAGACATGACTATTCTTGCGAATAAGCCTGATATTGTGCTGATGGACCGGGCACAGTCAAGGATATTTTTGGTCGATAATATCATTCCGTATGATGAGAAGAACCTCGTGAAAGCCGAAACAGATAAGTAAACAAAATATCTGGACCTGGTTCATGAAGTGACCGAAATGTGGGGTGGTCTGCCGACCAAAATTATACGTGTAGTCATTCCTTGCGAATGGGCTAATCCCGGTCAACCTCTCGGGTCATTTGAGGCGACTGGGACTCAGTGACGGACCGCTCCAGGCTCAAATGCAGAAATCGGTGCTCCTCGATACCGCCCGCATCGTCCGCCGGTTTTTTCCCTTTCCCCCTAACTTTCGGCGGTTTGGTCTCCCCTGCCGAGGGCTTCCATCTGGTTGGGCTTTTATTTATTTATGTATTTATTTTATTTTATTGATATTTATGTATATTTATCATTTTCATTCATAATTATATATTTATGGAATTCAACCAGATGAGAAAACTATATGGATACCCCATAATAATAATACACTAGCAGCTAGTACAAGTGTTTATCAGAATCACAAAATGAGTGGAGTTAAAGTGACTACAATCACAAGTATAAATTATATAATTTGTAAAATAGTTTCAATTCAGCAAAAGCAAGAAATTTCTCTTGCATGACATTGATTGGCTGATTGGAAGATAAAGTAGACATAGTATATTTAAAAACATGGAAATAGTCGTAAGTCATCAAGTCTTGATTAGTTATTTAGTCATGCATTAACGTTGACTTTCTCTGGGGTACGAATTGAGGAATGACAAAACATTAGTAGGTAAGTACATTATATCAACGCCATTCTCAATCCACCATTATTAGTACACTGCTGGATTTGAAGTCTTTGCAAGAATTTGAATGCTTCTTCATTTTTGATGATTGCCCGTGCTCACAACGTTGAAAGGGTTGTTGCAGGTAAAACTACTTGTAATGTCCTGAAAGTTTTCTAAAATCGTTACTAGGATTTCACCTTGCAGCGTGGAGGCATTTTACATACATAAATTGCACAAGGACAAACATCTAGATTATGAACATTAATTTGAAGGCCATAATTTAATCTGTAAACCAAGGCGTCATCATTGTGTTGTAATACCAGATATAGATAGTATACTGCGCCATATCACTGGTTTGTCGGATTTGTTTTGGGTAATTTCGTAGGGGTATTTCCCATTTATTCCCCAGAACTTTGTTCTTATGTTATACTACATTTTTACGTGATAGAGTTACGCTGCAACGTACAGTACTGGACTAAAGAGCAGGCTCGCAAAGAATACCAGCGTGGAAAAGTAGTAAATTTCTGTTGGGTTTCGTACTCACGGCATTCTATGTTAATGCTCAAGCAAGGGTGACAACACATCTGATTCTTTATCAAAAACATGTGTATCTGTGTACCACATCATTTGCTTATCCTATGATAGTCCAACTCTTATATGTACTTCTTCAAAATATTGGAAATTGGATAAAATGAATATTCAATTGTATATATTCCTAAAGAAAACTACGAGTAAGTTATGAAACGTAAAGGATGGAGCACAACGAATGTGTGCGTGGCGCGTTCTAGTGATTTTTATGTAAGAGGTGTTTGAAATATATGACACTACATGAAAAATTTAAGAACAAATATATGTCTTCCGCGTGTAGAGTGTAAGAACACAGAATGGTGTGAAGACACGTCTTTTTCACATTTGCATGTTATATAACAATTTAGTACACGAACTTTAAATAACGCGAACGTTTTTGGTGTGTACCGTCCTTTATGAATACTATTATTTTCAATTATTATCGATATATTATTAATAGCAGATTAATTTAGTACTTAAGGTACTGTAGCACTGTATCCAAAAATAATATAATTTTACAATATATATTTCAGTGGGAGATGAACTAGAAAGATCAGAGTGCGTGCCATTCTTGTCAGAATATACGGACTGTTCGGAAGGTATTCGTTACTATTTTTCAACCTTTTTTATCACTAGCCCATAAATCATTACGTGACATAATACGATTCCATTCAATTATTTTAATATGAAATGGAATGCTAGTTCTTCTCTGTATATGTCTCACTATTCGAACTGCTGGTAAATTTTGACATTCATTAGAGCTTCCATTCTTTTTTTTTGATTTTTCTACTTTTAGAATTCATTACATAATATTGGCAGTACCGTCTCTTTTTGATATGTGAACTAGTTTTAGAGTTTGCAATGATTTTTTTGCGTTTATTGCTTACTAGCCTATCAGAAGTCCATTGCAGAATATAGGTATACTCGTAGGTATAGGTATGCCTCATAGGGGGTATATTTGCTATAGTTACCATAGACGCTTAGCAGCAGGAAGACTATAGTTCATAAACGATAGCTTGAGACAGTACCTGTCAATGTCATACTTTATGGGCATGCCGACCTAATTAGTGCATGCCCATAAAGTATGACATTGACAGGTACTGTCTTTCCTACTAAGAAATTCAGGACTTCATAGGCGTGATTTTTACTAACAGCTGTCGCAGAGATCAAGCTATCTTTTATCAACCATAGTAGTAGTGGTTATATACTCTTTGATAAGAGCGTACATACTTTTAATAAGTAAAATTTCTATAATGAATAAAATATTTATTTACTTTGACATTTAGTATCGTGTAAAATTAAGAGTGTGAATAGCAAAGAGTAAATACTATGCGATTTAAATAAGAATAGAACTGGCTTGGCGCCATATTGTGACGTCATAGATGTCAATTCAAACTAGTTAGGTAGGGTAAGCAAAACAGATATTTATTTACAAAAGAACCATGAACATAAAGGTATTAATCTCAACCTGGCATTTCAAATTCGGTCATCTCTGCATTACTGTCCGAGTCGTCATCATTATCATTATAATCACCGCTACTTTCCTTAATAAAAATAGAACATGGATTTATGTAGGTAATTAAAATATTCCACCGACTAGTATCAATTATTTAAAATTAATTTATAGAAGTATTTAGGAGTTCAATAGATTTAGTAATGAGTTAAAACTCAAATAAAGCGAAAAATAAAACGTTATTAAGCGCAAATTATTTTCTTTGCAAGCCGTACTCAAGTGACTGTTGACAGATCGCGGTCATTCGAGGTCATTCACGTTCATATTCTTATATGAATCGCATTTAACTTTTCACTATATTACATAGCTGCCGTTTGCTTAACTAACGGAAGCCTGTGTTCAGTTGTGGGCTGTTGCTAGGCCGATGATGACAATATGTATACCCGATTATTGCTGTTCAATAAATATTTATACAACGCAATTTTTAGACCATTAGTACTAGTGTGTTATATGGTAGAGCCACGCTGCAGGTATATTATGATTTTAGTAGGAATGAGTTGGTCGATCGCGGTAGCACCTCGCTCTCACAGAATACCAGAGTAAAATAGCAGCCTACGCATACGATCACCATAGTAAGTGTAGAGAACCGAAGACCCTTTGAAGAAGATATTTTGATCCTTAATCGAGTATAGATGTAGATGTCTATCCACATCCACTTACCATCAGGTGGACTGTGCTCGTTTGTCACCTTTATTCTATAAAAAAGATTAGTATTATATTCAGATAAAATATTTTTCAGCAAACATATGCACTGGGTGCAAACAGTGCTCATGTACTGCTGAGGGTAGATGGACATGTCGCACTGTGCACGACTGTCCCAGGTACGATAACGAGGATTTGTTCGACGAGGATATTATCAGCAACGCGCACGAAGTGATCTTAAATGGTAATCAGAACACTTTATGCATCCAATTCAAATAACGTAGTTCTAATAGAGTAGAGATCCTGCATTATAATGTATCTTAATACCTTTTTAGAGCTTAAGGAAAAGGAAAATAATAGAGCCATTCCGGCTAAGCCTGAAGGAGGTCGTCTATTGGGTAAGAATATATAATAAAATATATTTTTAAACAACTATTTGAAATGTTTGCACTTTTAATAATAAAACTTATTCTTTATAGGTTACTTGATTGCTGTACCTTGAAAATACCACTTTTGCACCTCTTTTAATTAAAATTAGCACCACAGCACGTTTGTCTTATTTATTTTCATTAAATTATTATATACCAAAATGTATTTTATTACTTAACAAAATATAAGGTACGTATTCATGTATATTTTAAACTTATTTTATATTAATAGAATAACGTTTTTGAAACATTTACAGACGTAGAAAAGAATTTTGAAGTAGAAGAAGAACTGAGGCAACTGATGTCAAGAGCAAAACGGTCGCTGTCAGAAAAATCTCATAATAGTGACAGTAAAAATAATACAATCAAGTTTTATCATACCATAGACGAATTAAACGAAGGTAGATTGTTTATAATATTCATTCATTCATTACAACCTATAAAAGTCCACTGCTGAACATAGGCCTCCCCAGAGAATACCTCATTATGGAGATATTTGCCACAGTTGCCACTGCACTCAGTTTTTTATAGAATAAGGGCAACAAATGAACAAACACTCCACCTGATGGTAATTGATTGCTGCGGCTGCAGAATTTAATATGCAGATACGTTGTCACCCATGAGGACTAGGATACAATGCCTCGTTCCCAATAAGAAGGATATTCGGTTCTCTACACTCACCATACGAAACACAGTAGTATTAAGGTGCTATTTTACGCTGGTATTTTGTGAAAAAGTGGCTCTTCCCCGGTCGAGCCGACCCATTTGTGATGCTGCCATAATAATATAGCCGCAGCATGACTTTACCACGTTTTCTTCTAACTGTTATAAGGAAGATGCTGTTGCCCATCTCCATGTTTATTATATAAGCAAATAATAAACAACTAACCTTGTAATGGCAGAAGACGAGAATCTATCACACTATTTCGTCAAGGAGTCCCAGAACAAGAAGCGTTTGTGGGACAATGCCAGAAAATTTAATGGCTTCTGTTAGATAGCGGTATTTACATTGTTTATGCTAGGCGTAAAATGCCGAGGTCAGTGACGGGCAGCTGTGTCTGCTGGGTCAAAGGTGCGAGACATTTGATGCTGTTTAGGGTTAATTGTCTCTATAACTGGAGATGTTATGTCCAACGATAGACGTTTGTATCACGATTTTTATATTATGTATATTATAATACTGATCGAATCAGACTGAATTTCAGTCACGGCGGACAGTCTCAAAGGAGACTAGCCATCTGCACAGGACGGGGCTATAGTGCACGAGTGTGTACGCAAGCACAGGTGCACTTTCTATTCCTTCATTAGGAATAGGTAGCCATATCGATACGACCGGCGCACGAACGCCTAATCAGAATTTCTTGACAGGAAAACCCACTTACTGATTTTGACTCGATCCTGAATTCGAACTCAGGACCTTATGATCAGCAGTCGTGCTTAAGACCACTAGACCAACGAGGCTGTGGTGCTTGAAACATACTTTATTCAGTAGCCATTAGGTATCCCTACGATTTCAATGTTATCCGCATCGTTAAAAATTGAGCAAAAATTAAAAACAGCAAAACTTTGCGTTGTCAGCATGCTGTAGCGTAAAATTAATTTTTTTTTACAGATACCTTGAAAAACACGAATGTATCTGGAACTATAGAGGCAAATAAAATAGTTGGTGCTAAAATACCACAAATTTCAAGAAGGACTAGTATTGTGAACAATAAAAATATTTCTGACCTAAATGATTTACATATTGAATTCAATCAACCAAAAGACTATGATCGACATATTGTTGACAATAAGATTGATTCTGTAACGCACACTGAAAATAAATTGGATTTATTAAATCAAGAGAAAACACGCAACGTATTAGGTAACTACACACAAATTTCCAAGGACAAAGACCTCTCAAAGATAGTTGTTAATGAACTTAAGAAAGGTTCTGAAACAATTGGAGATAAGCTGGTTGCACCTGTATCTAATATAACTTTTACACCGGAAAACGACACTTTGACAGCAATGGCTTTTATTGCTGGAAATTTATTAAATAAATTATGGAAAATGGAAAAGGATTCAAATGTTGAATCTATTGAAACAGAAATACTAAAACATGAAAAAATTGCGGATTTGTTGGATTTGTTCAAAGAACCGCTCACAATGAGACAAGAAGTATTTATAAAAAATGCCTTAGAACGACTTTCTGAAGCTTTAAATAAAGACAGTAAAGTTAAAAACATTTCTTTATGCGAAGCATTAGGTTCTTCGGAAATACTTTTAAATAATGATAATATTAGCAACATAGATAAAGAAGCAACAAAACCTACAAGTAGGAAATGTAAAGTAAATAAACAGCCTGAAAAATATAAAAATGCCAATGCCAATAAGAAACAGGAGAACACTACTATTGAAGCTATATCGAAAATAAATAACGTACTAAGATTAATAAATAAATATGAAAATATTCAAAAACATTTACACGACCTTAGAAACAATTTACAGGAAACTACGGAACATGAAGAATATAATAAAACAAAAGTCGATTTAACTTTGACTAATGATGAGAGCAAATCATTGAATGTTTTTGGAAACCTATTAGAAAAAATTACGACACTACTTCTACCTAAAAAGAGCAAAACTAGTAAAAACCTAAGTACAAAAATTAGACATATGAGTCTATTTGGAGACTCGCAAGAGATTAAAAAAGAATTAAAACAAATAACTCATATCGATACAGATAATTTAACATTAACATGGAAAGATAAATTGATTATAGATTATCTAAATATTTTTAAGCAGAATTCCGGTTGTTTTTTTAAGGACTCGTTGAAGAATGAAATATTAAATAAAATCCCAAAAATAGGAGGTGATATAGTTGATCGCATTAGTAATTTTTCTAAAATAAGGTCATGGGATGAACTAGTCGATCTTATAGTGACAAAAAACGACAGTGATTTTAATTCTTTCACTACAACTGAAAAAACTGTAAATCCAACTACAACGGCAAAAAATGAGTTAAGAAATAATACCAATGAAGAAGATCCAGCATTAAAAACAGTCAAAAACAAGTTCAAAAAACATTTAAGTGCAATTATAGAGGATCTATTGGAATTACAAAATCAGAATGGTTTGCCATCAGTGGCTAATAATACAAGTATTGCAAATATTTTGCCATGTATTTTTAAAGTTTTGAGTTCAGATAATGAGAAATTGAGTGGAATACCGAAAGCTACTAATCGATCTCACCTTGATAAAGTAACGGCTATGTTTGAATCACTAAAAAATAATTTAAAATATAGTTCACCGTCACGAAGAATTGATTTACACAATGCAGATATGTCACAGTCATCTAAAATATGGGAGCGAGTCATTAAGGGTTTAAATAGAATTAGAAAAGAAACTACGCGTCGAAGTTACAACGAGAAAATTCCCAAATCCTATAAGGAACTTAAGGAAATAATTGATCGCGTTGATTTATCTGCAAGTTTCTATAAGCAACACGTTAAATTAGCAAATCTACCTCCAGCTAATCATTTAATATTATTAAAAACACTTCAAGCTAGCGCCAAACAGATCGAAAATACCTTGAAATACATAGAAACATCCATGGATACAGTAATGAATCTACCACTAGAAGAACGCTATGAAATACAAAAATTTGTAGACAATGCTGCTCGAAGTATACGTTTAATTGATCAAATTTTAGATAGATTGAAAATGTCTCAAAATAAAATAGAGATTTTGAGTAGGATTAAACCGAAAATAAAGCAGTTAAACAAGCAGTCATTGAAGACGTCAGAAGATGACGTATATAATGATCCAAACATAAATTTTAAGCTTACTAGAGATCAAATATTGCTTCAACTTATTAAAAATCGAGTTCAGTTATATTTGCGAATAAAAGAAGCGAAAGGAGTTGATTTAAGGAATGATATTAACTACAACGTAGCTAAAAAAATAATCACTCATTTAGAAAGTGGAAATTCCAATTTAGCAAAAGAATTATTTAGAGTATTTATAACGAAAATGGAGATACGTAATAAGAGCAACAGTTCGATTAATTATACTGAAGGTATGTTTAAAATAATAATACTCTGTAGTGGTGGTGTCAGAATATACTCTAGCCCATATCGTTCCGTGAGAGTGAAGGCCTATGTTAAGCAGTGGATTTTAATGTGCTGTAATGATGATGATAATATAATATATATAATGTGATGAATATTTATATATATATATATATAAATTTACTAGCTTGAATTTATGGGTTTTCACTCTTACACAGCAGCAGGTTGTGGTTAATCCTTAGCGTAATTAGTTATCTATATTGGAATCAAGTCTTTACAGCTGGAAAGCCATTGGAGCGGATTATAGTTCGTTACGATTTTGAATTTATAACTGATTGATGTTTGATGTATCATCATCATCATCATCATCCTTACACACCTTCACAAGTCCACTGCTGAACATAGGCCTCCCCCAAGTAATGCCACAAAGCACGGTCCTGAGCCACCTGCATCCATGGACTTCCTGCATGTCTTACCAGGTCGTCACTCTATCTAGTGGGGGTTGCCCTACACAACGCCTACCGGTACGAGGCTGCTACTCGAGAACCTTTCTTCCCCATCGGTTATCGGTTCTTCGAGCTATATGGCCGGCCCATTGCCAATTCAGCTCACTAAACTGTTGGGCTATGTCGGTCACTCTGGTTTTACTGCGGGTATCCTCATTTCTGAGTCTATCACGCAGAGAAACTCCGAGCATAGCCCTCTGCATAGCTCGCTGACCGACCTTGAGCGTCCTCATACGGCCAGCAGTGAAGGACCACGTCTCTGATCCGTAAGTCATCACTGGCAACACGCACTGGTTGTACACTTTAGTTTTCATAGATTGAGGTATACCTGACGAGAAGATATGTCGTAATTTCCCGAACGCTGCCCAGCCGAGTTGAATCCGTCGATTGACCTCTCGGTCGAAATTGGACTTACCTAGTCGGACTATTTGTCCCAGGTAAACGTACTCGTCTACAACTTCGAGCATAGTGCTCCCAACAACTACCGGCATAGGTGTGACATGGACATTAAACATGTTCTTTGTTTTGTCCATGTTCATCTTAAGACCTATCCGTTGGGAGGCACTATTGAGGTCATGGAGCATAGTGCTAAGGTCCTCCAGCGATTCTGTCATAAGGACTATATCGTCGGCAAATCGAAGGTGAGTGATGTACTCGCCATTGATGTTAATACCGTATCCTTTCCAGTCCAGTAGCTTGAAAACGTCTTCCAACGCAGCGGTGAAAAGTTTCGGGGATATAACGTCACCCTGTCTTACACCTCTCTGCATTTGGATAGGTTTCGAACTCTGGTTCTGTACTCGGATAGCCATCGTAGCCCTACTGTACAAACACTTCAGCACCTCGATATACCGACAGTCAACTTGGCACCGCTGAAGGGACTGTAGCACCGCCCAAATTTCGACGGAATCAAAGGCTTTCTCATAGTCCACATACGCCAGGCAAAGTGGCAGATTGTACTCTTCGGTCTTCTGTACAATCTGCCGCAGGGTATGTATGTGGTCTATGGTACTGAAGCCTTTTCGGAAACCGGCTTGTTCGGGAGGCTGGAAGTCGTCGAGTCTGCATGCGAGACGATTCGTAATGACTCTCGAAAACAGCACGTAGACGCGGCTCAGAAGGGAAATCGGTCTGTAGTTCTTGAAGAGAGCGTTGTTGCCTTTTTTAAAGAATAAGACCACCGCACTTCTGCTCCACGTCTCCGGAGTAGTACCACAATGAAATACGGAATTGAAGAGCTGCTGGAGGACTTCAAGTACCGGTGTTCCACCCGCTTTCAGAAGCTCCGCTGTAATTCCATCCTCGCCTGGGGACCTGCCGTTTTTAAGGCGCTGGAGAGCCATTCTAATCTCGCTCAGACTGACGTCCGGAAAATCGTCGGAATGGTGTCGGATAAGACTTGCTCTTGGATCGTTACTCACACTTGCGTGTGGCTCCAACGATGATGTACAGCTGCCCGTAGAACCTCTCAATCTCACTCAGAATCTCAGGTGTCTCGGAAACGATGCTGTCACACTCAGTCTTCAGCTTTGACAGTTGGCTCTTTCTGGCAAACAGATCTCTGGCAAAGACTTTGGAGCCCTGGTTCCGCTCGATCGCTTCTTTAATACGAGCAGTATTAAAGTTGCGTAAGTCTCGCCGCATGCATTTGGAGATCTGTCTGTTCAGTTACCTGTATGCTGTCAAATCTGTTGACGATTGCAGCCTCATCTCCCGTCTAACAGCCATGAGATTAAGAGTGTGATCGGAGAGTTTTTGTGATCTTCTGCGGCGGGTCTTGCAGAACTTACCTCCGACCGCATGGACAGTTTCCACGAGCTTGTCATTCGTATCGTCCACTGCATTGCAATCTTCTAGGCACTGAAAGCGGTTACGTAACTCGAGCTGAAAAGTCTCGGGATTCTGAGTTAGAGCACGAGGGGGACGGAGCGTTGACTTCATCAGACGAGACCTTTCCAACTTAACGTTTAGGTTCAGTGTGCTTCTAACAATTCGGTGATCGCTGCCGGTTTTCACCCTTGCGATCACTGATCATCACTGAACAGTTGGCGTCTGGTCGTCATAATGAAGTCAATCTCATTTTTTGTCGAACCGTCGGGGATTGACCAGGTCCACTTCCTGTGGTGCCGCTTCTGGATGAAAGAGTTCGTCATAAAGAGTCCCTCTTTCTCCATAAAGTTGGCCAGCTGCTGGCCCCTTCGGTTCCGTTGCCCTACTCCAAATTTCCCTAACTTCAGCTCACCGCTTTCTCTTGTGCCTAGTTTTGCGTTGAAGTCTCCCATCAACACCGTGTAGTGGGTTTTGGAGGAATGCATGGCTCTAGAAACATTCTCATACATTTCCTCCACCTCCTCATCGGGATGTGCCGAGGTTGGTGCCTAGACCTGTATGACCTTCAGCGAATACCGTTTGGTGATTCTGAGTATCACGTACGCAACCCTCGTCGACACACTCCCAATCTTTGCAACGTTGTTGACTAGAGACTTGTGGACGATAAATCCGACACCTCCTTGGGACAGATGGTCGCCCTCCCGATGATAGAACAAGTTGCCGGACTCGAGGATTACCGTGTCCTCCCCCTCTCTTCGGACCTCAGATAATCCAATAATATGCCAGCGCAACTTGTCTACCTCTTCTTCCAGCTCCAGTATCTTCTCGTCAGTCCTCAGGGTGCGTGCGTTATACGCTGCCAGGTTGAGTCGTCGTAGGTGGCAACCGAACCTCCACCGGAGATTCCAAGCACCCCCTGCCCCGCCGTTACCATGGTCGCCACCGTAGCCAGGAATAGCGGGGCCGCCGGGGACTGGGGGCCGTTTATTTGCGTCGTTGCTCATGGGGGGATATTTGCCATAGTTGCCACGCTTGGCGAGCGGGTTGGCAACCGCAGTTTTTTATTATGTTATTGTTGTTATTAGGAAGATGCTGCTGCCCATCTCCTTACTGTGTCCCTCTGTCGCCTCTTACGACACCCACGGGAATATATGGGGTAGTGGATATTCTCAACCGCCACTACACGGCAATGTTTGATGTATAAATATGGGTAAATAATTTAGTACCGATTATGATTGTCAGAAATGATTTTTTAGTTAAATTACTATATTGGGAAGAAACTAGATATTAAAAAAAAAACACTTTGCTCGACCAGAATGGATCACGGGAAATTTAATGTGAATATTTATTTATTTATTTTATAACTTGTAGAGCCAGGCTACACACCCACCCACCCACACACACCACACACACACACACACACACACACACACACACATACATATATATATATATATATATATATATATATAATATATATATATATACAATAGTAGTAGGAATGAGTCGATTTGACCTAGGAAAAGACCACGCCCTCACAGAATACCAGCGTAAAATAGCAGCTTAAGGCTGTTGCGTTTCGTTTGGTGAGTGTAGAGAACCAGCGACCCTCTTTACTTGTAACGAGGTATTCTTTCTTCAAGCGGTGACAAAGCATAAAAGTTTTGATTTTTATTCGGAGATAGGCGTATTCATGTATGAGCTACAGCATCATCTTACCTTCAGGTGGATTGTTAATTTGCTAATTTTTCACCATTATTCTATTAAAAAAAATATCCAACTGCAACAGATTTGATTTGATTTGTTTTGGGACCAGAAAATACTTAACATCTTATAAAAATGTTATGCCATATTCATTGTCTGTTTATTTTGACAGCTCCACCTGTCCAGAATGTCGAGTCTTATAAGGATCTGACAGAATTATCCTTTAATGCAAGGCCACATAATGTGTATGAGTCAAGAGCAGATGTGAAATTTCAAGCGCAAGATAACTTCTTGAAACAACTACTGAAATTAAAGGCTATTTCATGATCTTTCACTGATAACAATCTGCAGTGATAAATATATAAGGACTGTGTTTTTGTATATTTCATACATTTTTGTATAATTTGTAATAAAAGAGTAAAAAATGTAGGTATTTTAATAAAGGTATTTATTTTTAGCCATATTACCACATTTTAATTAACTAGCCTTGTGACGCTGTAACGCCGGAATGATCTAATGCTTTCAGAAAGATAATGTTGTAGTCATCGTCCTGTTTACGTCACACGTAAAATACTTAGATCGGTAACGGGGAGCAGCGTCGGAGGTGCGAGACGTCTGATCGACAATTCAGCCGACAAGCGTTACGATTAAAGCAAATACTCCAGAAATAATAGTTTTCTAGGAACTATTTTTATTAACAGTAGCTCTTGAAATATCGAAAACCTGCTCAACTCCCAAAGTAGGCTTCAGCGCGAGATTTGAGTGGATGTCATGAATGTATGGCAAGAAAGATGGAAGAATAAGACGAATGGCAGAGAATTTTTGTTTCTTCCCGGACGTGCCGACGCGAATCAATGCAAATCGGGTCGTGCCTGATTATTAAGTCTCGCAGATACTCAGTGGACATGGATGTTTTCGTATGACAAGAAGTTGGTTGAATCTGGTATGAGTGATTACAGTGCTGCCTATGAGGATAGGCATCACGTGCTATCGGAGTGCGCGTTTTATGATCTCTCATAGAGTACCAGCGTAAAATAGCAGATTAATACTGCTGTGTTTCGTATGGTGAGTATAGAGATCTGGAGACCTTTTTTTACTGGAAACGAGGCATGCCATCTTAGTACTCAGGGGTAACAACGCATCTGCATTTTGATTCTTAATTGAGTATAAATGTAGATGTTTATGGACCGCAGTATCCACTTATCATCAGGTTAAAAAAATGATGACTTGAAATGTAAGATGATGGATGGAACAGTACGCAGAGAGACGGTAAGGACAGCTTTGGTCAGCTGCGGGAGTTTACGCATGTATTTGCATGCGCGGAGAACGGTGATGGAGAAGCAAGTGAGAGATTTGCCCGAAACCGAAGGCGTGCTGTGTTCCCCCAGCCCAGAAAGGGAGAGTGGAAAAACAGTACAAGGAGTAGAGTAAATAACTCGTAGATAGTCAAGAAAGTGCACACAGGAAAGAGCCAAGTGCAAGTACCGAATGCATCTCTCGAGATTCGGCTCATATAACCGCGAAGTTGGTGGAGCCTGGGAAGGTGGAGCTCTCGAAATTTGTATAAAAGGAATGTTATTTCAAATATTTTGTTCAGAATAAAAGTTATCCATCCTTTCATTTCTAAAAGAGTTTTAGAGCAAGGAAGTGTCCGTTACGCTGCGTGTTGGCTGTTGGGTACAATCGAAAAAAATACCCAAAAAAAAGAAACACATGCTATAATTATTTACTAAACAACAATTACATTTGTGCTTAAATTTTTTTTCTGAAAGGAACAAAAGGTCGGTCCAAGAATGTCACATTAGGCCGTTGGGATTAATACTGAGATAATTACATTGTTACCACAAAGAAGAAGTAACTAAGTAAATTGAATTTTACGGTATTACTACAAAAAAATCAAACATCTCACTTATATTATATAATTTATAAACAAATAATTTATTCGGATTTTATCGAAAAGAGAGTATCACCCGGCGGGAAATATTTTCGGTTTCGTGAGTATCCATTTCTTTATGTAGTTAATGTATTCTTCTATATGTACGTATTCTATATATATGAGTAGTTCAGAAACTTTTATAGCGTGATTTAGGTCTCAGTTGCTGCGTTTGTAGCGCGATGGCGGCGCCGCCACAGTTCATTCCCCTCTGCTACCAGTGAAACAATTTTTTTTGAAATTGCAATACTTGTTAATCATAGAATTATTTGCGGCATTCCATCTTAGTCCTCAGGGGTGACAAAGCATATACATTTTGATTCTTAATAGAGGATAATTGTACGCGTCTATGGGCTCAAGCATGAACTTTCCATCAAGTAAACTTTGTGATCGTTGGTCATCCTTATTCTATATAAAAAAAAACGTTTACGTTTACGTTATTATAGCGGGACATAGTTAATCAAATAGGACTAAATTCGCATACGTTGCAATACACTGTATTTATTTATATCTAACCGTCTGGTCAGCGTTCGCCTAAAAACTAGCTCATTAGATAATTTTTTCTCTGAATCTTTTTGTTTTTAAAATACATACATTGATATCATACCGAAAACTAATTTTGATAACAATTAATATAAAGTTAAAGAATTTTTAAAAACAGATCAGCAGTTCTAGAGATCACCTCTTAAAAAAAAAGTTTTGTACAAACAACTTTACGCCCTTAGTAAGTGTAGATGTAGATTTATTAACGACTTCAAACAGAAACAGAAACAGAAACTTTTTTATTCAAAGTAGATTATAAATAATACCTATTGAAAGTCAATTTCAAAAAGGAGGAGGTATTCAATTCGACTATTTGTTTTTTTATGTGTGTTACCTCAGAACTTTTCTATATATTTTTTTTGTTTTTTCTCAATATTTCTTATAGATGATAGTTATTTTAGGTGATTCTTTTTGATCTGAAAGCTTGTGCTTCTCGGGTGGTCTCATATAAATTCAATTAAGATCTGACCAGTAGTTTTTGCGTTATCTTTAATAATGCGTATTTAATTGACTTCGAATACATTGACGATGTTCTCATTTTAAATATATTGAAGTCAGTTGTACAAATTTTTTAAATTTATAGCTTGTTATTTGTAATAAATTTAAAGTATCAAATATCGCAATTATAACACTAAAATTTCTTTGAACTTTTAAACATGAAAACATTAGACATATAATCAGTATACTTATATAGCCTTACTCATCGTGTTATAGTTTCCATGCATTTCAACTCATTATCCAGGAGAATTTCTGCTGAGGATTTTTTAATTTCATAATTCGAAATGAGAAACACCAAAAAAGCAGAGGGACGATTTGAACGTTTGGGAGCGCAGTAACTTGGTCAAAATGAACAACAACCCAAGAGAAAAGGAAAAATTGTACAGTGGATCGTAACAGTATTTTATTTTCCGAAAAGAGTCCTCAGTAGTAAAATAACTATGAGATACGGTAAGTCCGTGGATGTTCCTGAAATACTACTATAACCATTGCCCATAACATATAAAAATAAACGTAAATTATGTTTTCACTTTGTTTACTTTCATTGTAGGTATGTACTAATAGAAGTGTGTGTAGGGTTCTCATTTAATTATGATCTTTTCAAGTTCCTGTATTTAATACTTGACTTTTTTTTAGATGTGACTAAGCATTTAGCTGAGGCGCTGTGGGTCACCGATTAGAATTCTACACGGATCGAATTAGAATTATTCATGAATATTTTTCCTGAGATACATCCAGAATGTTTGTCTATGTTGAATTTATGTATGTAAAACTCCTCCAAGATTCAGGAGAAAACCCTAGCTCAATAATAAAATAGGTGAAGGAACTTTATTTTAGAAGATAATTGAGTTAATCATGTAACCCACCATATCATATTAAAAATATTCCTTCATTAATTACAACCCATCAAAACTCCAAAGGAGAACGTACGCCTCCGTTATAAACTGTCTCATAGGGGGATAAGGTTGGTTAAAACGAACAATAGCCAAGTCAAAAAGAAAGATTGATCGGTGGTTATACCAGTATTTTATTTTGTGAAAGGACTTCTCAAACTGAAGTAATAGTTCAGTAAACAGAAGTAAGAAGTGGTGTTCTCTTTGCAGTAAAGAATAGTTTCACCGTTAAAGGAATTACAAACGTAGATGGTTTCACTGATAGTAAAGAATTGTTATTTACTCTTTTAACGTTGAAAAATATTAAACTCTTAGTGTGTGTTGCATATTTACCACCAAACTACAATGACAAGCAATATCTTGATGCATTAAATTTAATAAAGTCATTAGTAGACGAGTTCACTATAAATCCTCAACTACCAATCATAAATATATATATCCAAAATGGTATACTAAAGAAATCATAAAATACATAAAATTGAAATATTTTAATTCAAAAATGTTTAAAATTCGTGGCTTGGAATTTAATAGGGCGTTATTTAAATATAACCAAAGTAAAAAAACGTATTAATACAGCATCTACATATAAATTATATAATAAAAGTTGAAAATGATATAGCACTCGAACTTTCAAATTTTTGGAAATACGTGAAAGAAAAATGAAAGAATAGACAACAGAATAAGGAATTTGTGTATAATAATAGAACTTTAGAAGGGCAACAAGCTATTGATGCATTCGCGCAGTATTTCAGCTCAGTTTTTCAACCTGATACTCCATTGTTAAATGCAGAGGCAGTGGAACGCGATGCCATGTACGCAGACTGTGTAACCAATGTCAGTATTAATATTATTAAAGCTTCAGATCTACGATGGGCAATACGCCGTCTTAAGGCAGCTTGCGGCCCTGATAACAAACCTGCTTTTTTAATAAAGGACTGTATAGCAGTTTTAGAGGAATCATTACTGTATGTCTACAATCTTTCACTTCAACAATGTCTCTATCACAATGCATGGAAAGTGTCCAGGGTAACTCCTGTACCTAAAAGTGGTTCGTCCACTGATGTAACTAACTTCAGGCCTATCGCAGTGTTATCAGTATTTGGCAAGGTGTTTGAATCCATTATAAAGAATTTCATTTATAAACAAATAGGTGGGCTTTTAGATAATTGTCAACATGGATTCTGGCCGGAACGTTCTACTTTGACGAATCATATACAGTTTGTGGACTACGTGACCACGCGGGTTAAGTCAAGTTGTCAAGTCGACGCGGCCTATTTTGATTTTAAGAAGGCGTTTGACCTTGTTGATTTAGATATCCTTTTATTGAAATTCGCAATGCTTGGATTCTCTACACCACTTTTAAAATTTATGGCAGATTATCTTAGAGACCGAACGCAATTTGTTAAGCTAAGAGGTTATATTTCTCAAGAATATTACACACGCTCGGTGTGAGTTAAGGTAGTACGCTCGGTGCAACTCTATTTCTAATAATGATTAACGATCTGCCCAGTATTATCTCAAGGGCAAAATGTTTAATGTTCGCTGATGATATAAAACTTTTCCATGCAGTGACCGGAGTTGACGATTGTATGGCATTACAGCGTGAATGGAGTGTAAAAAACAAATTGCCCCTTAATAATTCAAAGTGTAGTCTAACTTTTTCTCGGTCACGCAATCCAATCACAACGACATACCAGCTAGCAGGCACTCCATTAGGATGTGTCTATACAATTCGCGATCTAGACCTAATCATGGATAGTAAATTGAATTTCCATGAACATATTATTAAAACGTGCAAAGAAGCGAATAAAAGTCTAGGTTTCATAATTAGAACTTCGCATCTGTTTAAAAATGTCCGTGTGATAAAACTCCTGTATAATGTCTTCGTGCGCAGTAAGCTAGAGTATAGTGCCTTAGTATGGAACCCCCGAGAAACCATGTATACAATAGTGGTGGAAAAAATCCAACGTAAGTTTGCCAGATATTTGTATAAACGCCAGTATGGATACTACCCTTTTCTATATCTGTCAAAATTTGTATCGGGCATGGTTGGTCTGAATACCCTACAGTGTATGCGGGAACTTATGCATATAATGCATTATTATTTCTTGCTAAGTAACAAAGTAGATAATCCTGCAGTTCGTGAGACCATACATCTTTATGTACCGGACCAATATGTGCGAGGTGCTGGTAGACGAAAGCGTAGACTCCTCTCCTGTCCGCGTACGTGGCGCTCGCCACACGCAGATAACAGTCCCACTTCCAGAGCCGTTAGACTAATAAACTGTTTTCTCAGGGCCAATACAGACGCAGATATATTTTTTGAAAAACCCAGCGCAATGTATAAAAATGTATTAATATTCCGAAACAACTTTGTAAGATAGAAGAATAGTATATGTCTAGGTAATTAAGTTTAATTTATGATAAAGTAAGTAGATCTCATTATACTGTTGTAGCTGTAATTTATATGTATGTGTATGGTAATATTTAATAATTGGTGATTTTTTTGTGTATTTTATCTTATTTTGTAAAATTAGTGTAGATATAAGGGATTTGGTTGTATATACTGTAAGCTTATATTTTATCAATAAATGAATATGAATAAACTTTGGGTTAAGGAAAGTCAGTGGATACTCCTGAAATACTCCTATAAACATTGTCTATAACATATCAAAATAAACGGAAAATATGTTTCAGTTAGTTTACTTTTATTGTACTCGTAGATATATACTAATAGAAGTGTATGTAGTATTCACATTTAAGTATTATCTGTTCAAATCCCTGGATTTAATACTTGATTTAACACTTTTTCTAGAATTTTTTACGTTCCTAAACTTTTTCCTTAAATAATTTGGTAATATATTTTTTATCCGTTTTAGTACATTATTAACTTCAAGTGTTGATCTCTTCTTTCTAATAGAATTTGTGTTTACATTATTTTGCCAATTTATCTCTTTCTTGTTATATTGTGACAGGTCCTTTGGCGTTGGATTATCAACGTGTAGTTTTGAAATTTTTTTCTTTTTGAAAATATTTTTTATATCTATTTTAGATTTTTTGAATATATTTTTCACTTGCTGCAAGAAAGAACCCATTTTGTTTTTTGTCTCAGTTTTAGCATTGTTAATTGTTTTTGAATGTCGATGTATTTTCTTGTTTTGTGATTTTATGATTTGTTGAACTTTATTGGTAATAATTTCTATGTCTTCTTTGATCCTAGATGTTAATTTTTCACTCATAAGTTTGTCAATAATTATCCGTCTGCTTTGAGCCAAGTCTACTATAGCTAAAGTATCATCTAGTTTGTGAATATCTTTTAACAATTCGAGGTGCAATAATTTTAAATTGTACAAGCGATCAGACATGGGGCTAGAAGCAACAGCTCTTGTTAAATTATACCATTTAATGCCAATATTTTCTAAATTGTTTGTTATATTGTTTTGAGAGACGAAATCCCTACGACCGGTATAAATAAATTTGCCTTGATAGTTTTTCTTGATAATACGCCTTATAATTTTTTTCGCATAATAAGCCAGTGTATTTAATGCGTTAGACTCAGGCATGTCTTTATCTATATTATAAAGTATTTGCTGTACTCTACTGGTTGGTGTTTTTAGATTATTTTTATTAGTATTAATTGAAAATGATTTTCCGTAGTTAATTTCATTTCTTTCTTTAATTTTCTTTATCTTCTCTCCAATATGTAATTTTCCTTGATAGTGGACATAATATTTCATTGCTTTTATTAAAACATTTAAGTCTTCAGGTAGTTCTTTATAATTAACGTTTTGTTGTATTCCCACTATATCTTTAATTACTTCATAAATATCATTTTTAAGTTTAGATACATAATGGTCTAAAATGATAGAACTGTTCTTAATCTCAACTATGTCATTTTGCAAATATGGTAAAAGTTTTAATTTGTACAGAGTAAGATAAGATTTCGTTTCATTTTCCAATATGCTATGGTTTAAATTTGAAAATGTATCCTTCTTCGAAAACGTAAAGTAGTTCACTAAATTGTTTCTCATGTGCTTCAGTTCTCTAATTTCATGTTGTTTACTCTTAATAATGAATGTCAATGGATCGAATACATTCTCTTTGAAGTCTAGGAGTAATTTTCCATTTTTGGAGTTATTCACTAATGCATCCATTTGTATAGTTATAGGTTCTTTCACAATTTCTCTTTTTAATACACGCACAGATCTAGTTTCGTCTATATCATTTGCATCACCGATGCCAGGAACGCTTTCTTTTGTGTTTATTTCTAAATTAACTTCTGAAAATGTTAAAAATATAAGCCTTAATATCTTCCTCAGAACTAGAAAAGCAGTGAATAGTTTGTAAATCATTACCTACCATTATTTTAGATATTACACTACCGTCAGCTTACAAACAAACTACTTAAAACTCATACTGTAAACTAGGCGTGTACTTTACTACTTGTAAAGTATTTATTCAGTGTCGCATACTTATATTTATTTCTCGTATTATCGCGTATATCGACTATGCACGAGATAGAGTATCATAAGAGTATGAATAAACACTAAGCCTTACACTCATCCTAAATCATCTGAGGTAGTCTAGGAATGACATATTGTCTTGTGTTTTATAAAATGTGACTGGAGGAAATTCAAAAAAGGTTTCATAACCTCCGATTAGATAACGGTATAACTATCTATCACATGTTTGATGCTAAGCATGCTGGTGATGTGAACAGTATCAAATTTAAGAGATTTCTAATACATCGATCGTCATTCCGCTTGCCAAGCGTAGTGATTATGAAAATATTTTCTAAAATAGATTAATGGTGATAGAAAAGAAAAAAAGACTTAAGTTAAGATTTTTACCTTTTTTGTTCAGATTTGTATAAAAAAACAATTTCGTTTTAGCATTTTTTGAATTTTCAGATGTTTCTACTAAAATATCTGCTTCTTTTCTGAAAGTTTCCTCATCTGTTTTCGTTGTATCATTACTTTTCCTGTCCTCCGGCATATCCATATAATCTGGATCTAGTATATCCTCAGTATGATTTTTTAACATTGGTAAATTCAGTTTAGGGTATTTTCCATTACTAATGCTATTATTTGTAAAAAATAAATCGTCGAAATCCAAGTCAAAGTCGTTTTGTGATTCATTTTTCTCAGTAGTGCTAGTACCTAAAAATAATATTTATATTAAGTAGATATTGTAGCAGTGACGAAATTAAAATACATGCAACACCAAACATCGCTCCGACTTATAACAAAACAATCCTTTTTAATCCTCAGGAACAGAGAAAGTAGCGACAGATTTGATGTCTAGCTTCCAAATGACTAACAATCCAAAACACCTGAAGGTTCAGGTGTTGTGTACAGTGTGCTCGTTTGTCTGTCTTCCTTTTATTATGTACATTCCTTTTATTTTTTACGTGGTAGAGCCATGCTGCAGTTATATTAGTAGCATAGTTGTAGCACGAATGGGTCGGCTCGACCGAGGAAGGACCACGCTCTCACAGAATACCAGCGTCAAATAGTAGCTTAATGCTGCTGTGTTTCGTATGGTGGGTGTAGAGAACCGGAGACCCTATTTACTGGAAACGAGGCGTTCCATCTTAGTCCTCACGGGTGACAACGCTTCCGCATTTTGATTCTTAATCGAGGATATATGTAGATGTCTATGGGCCACAGAAACCACTTACCATCAGGTGGACTGTGTGCTCGTTTGTCAATCTATTCTATAAAAAATAATTATTGCCATCTATCAGAAGTCATAAGATCTTTATGGCATTTCTTTTAGTCAACTCTTACCACACCAATGGGACGACACGACATAGAGAAATAAATTCTCTTAAGCTGTCACTATACGTTAAATAAAACTATATACACTGATTTGATGGCGTTTGATTAACTTATTTTAACTTATTTTTAATTCCTGACGTTTTGGGTGCTTTACAGCACCCATGTTCATGGGGGTGGAGTGACTGAGATGTTTGATGCACCAATGTCATAGTTAGCCCAGCTTTTGGATATTCATTTTTGGTCCGATCTACGCAGAACGTGCATACAGTATCTTGAAGACTTGCAGTGGTATGCTTAGGTTTGGATTTAATTTTGTTAATTATAGGATTCCAAGCAGATGGCAGAACCCATCCATCTTCTCTTTTGAAATTAGGATGTTTTTTTAATTTCATTAGCCTATTGAAATAAGTTCGAATAAGTATAATTAAACGCGATAAAATCCGTATATATTGAATAAAACTATATATAGTTTTATTCAATGGTTAGTGTTCGCGTAAATTTAAGAAATCATTATGTCATTTTACGGTCTATTAAAAATAACATTTAAGAATTTAAGATATATATACAAGCTCTTGTTTTAGACAGATCCTTGTATTCTTGTGCTGTAATTTTTATTTTAGATACATACCCTGTTTTCCAGTGCTTTCTGTCACCTTATCCAATATATGTGTGTCATTTTTGTCATCGTTAGAGCCTGACGAATCATTGACTGCATTAATTAGAAAGGTTATTTCCTCTGATGTGAGCTTGTCTTCATTTATATTAATATCGGACATGACAGTACTGTATGCTGAACGTTTTTTTCTGATATAAGAGTCCCTTTTAACTAAAAATATTAGATTTTCATTTATTAGATTATTAGAACTAGATTTTGTAATGGAATAGCTCCTTTTATGACTAGGAATCCGTTCTTGTTACTACCTCAGAGGTATCAAACCTTTATCTGACCTAAGGTTTGATCTAGTTTGCAGAATAAGATATCCGGTTTTATAACTGGCTATGAGGCATTTCAAACTAGTTTTCAAGGGTGAAACCTCTTCTGTGACCTTCTTTATTTGAAATTGGTTCCAGGTAAGCATGGACGCCAGTAGCCACTAACCATTTTGTTGAATGTTAGCTTGTTTGGCACTAATTATACATCAATTTTTTTAAGTATTTTAAATACACACAAGTTTTCACAAGAGCGTAAGGGGGACTGGTTGAGGAGTGGGTTGAGAGGGGGGGGGGTGGTAATAGGTGTATTTTTTTTTTTTTTCACAATAACCCTATTACTATTACTTCAAATTTTCCGGTAATTTTATGTCAAACGTCAATAAAAAATTTCGGAAAATCCGAAAGTGCACGACTCATAAAGCTCATATGATCGTGAAAAAATGTAGAAAAATGCTCAACACACAACCTTCCAATCCTTAGCTTTCCTAGATGTGTTAGTCATCCGAAATCCTAACAACACCATAGGTCATACTGTGTATAGAAAGAAGACCCATACAAACTAATACTTAAATGGTGAATCTCACCATCATCCTTCACAGTTAGCTACCGTGGGCAAATCTTTGTTACAGAGAGCACGAGGGATCTGTGACAGCAAACACCTGGCCGCCGAGATTCAGCACGTCAAGCAGGTTCTGCACGAAAATAAGCTTCGGGTCCCGCGCCTCCGTCACAGTGACCGAGTGAAGCCGGCCACAGTCGAGCGTGTGCCCGCTGTACTACCATATGTCAGAGGTGTCACAGACAAGATTGGCTACATCTTGAAGCGAGCTTCTATTAGAATATTCTACAAGCCGCCGAAGAAGATTAGTCAGTTCTTACCATCCGTCAAGTGTCATATTCCTCTACAAGATGCAGGAGTGTACAAGCTTGATTGTGATTGTGGTCTCTCATATATAGGGCAAACAAAGAGATCAATTAGAACCCGCGTAAAAGAACACATAGCTGACGTGAAGCATCAACGTTCCGGGAAATCTGCAGTTTGCGATCATATTCTAGATGACCCCAAACATTACATCAGATTTGATAGACCACAAATCCTCGCGAAAGGACATCGATTCCTACCAAGGATGATACGTGAGGCTATTGAAATTAAAAAACATCCTAATTTCAATAGAGAGGGAGGCTGGGTACTACCACCTGCTTGGGATCCTATAATTAATAAAATTACAACTAAACCCAAGCATACCACTGCAAGACTTCAAAACACAGTTAGTTCATTCTGCGTAGATCGGACCAAAGACAGTAATTAAAAAGCTGAAGGTACTCCGGGTTAACTTTGACATCGGGACGTCAGTCACCTCAGTCCCCAGTGACCATGGGTACTGGAAAGCACTCGAAACGTCGGGTATTAAAAATAAAATAAATAAAACGCGATAAAATCCGTAAAAGTAGTTTTAATCAATGTATAGTGTTCGCGTAAATATAAGAAATCATTATTAAAATAAGTTTAAGGAAACTTAACAAGCTGAGAACAGAGCTACGATCGGAGTTTTTTTAAGAGATAGAATTTGTAATGAAGACGTCCTCAGTAGAATCAGAGTAGCTGAGATAGTTTAAAGTGTAAGCTGAAGTGAATGAGACGGCCATGTGGTTTTAAGAACCTTACAACCAATCAGGAAGATAGATTCTTGAGGTTGAGTGGTATGCTCGTACCCCTAAACCAAGTGTAGGTCAACCTCCCACTAGATGGAGTAGTGAGGTATACAGGAAGACAATAAATGCAGGGGAATTGGTGCATTCCTTGGGGGAGGGGGCTACTAGCATATACTATTTCAAGAAGTATCAAGTCTCGAGCGTCAAAATCGATATGTGTGTATCTAAAATATGACATGTTTGTCTAACCTGGCCTTAAAATACATAATATTACTTTACTAGGATCCACTATCAACTCACAATTGTTTAAGTTTTCCATAACCTGTACAAGCACTCTGTGGTCTATGTTCAGGGCGGTATCAGGGCGGCATCGCTGGGTCGTGCTGCAATTCCATCGGGCTTCAGCACTGCAGTCGCATGTAGTACAGCCCAAGCAGATATTGTCTGTACAAAAACCGGTGGATTAGAAAAAATATCTATGCAGATCACACGCGGTAGAAGTAAAATCTTCGGAAAACTAGACTTTTTTTTTTAAATAAAAATCGGCTCACTCTTGAAATCCATTTGGCCCAAGGGACAAATTGACGAAGACGCAACGAATGTAAAAAAGAGTTCACTTCAAAAAAATAGCAGCATATAAAATTGGACAAGAGATCGACCAGTCTTCACAAACCTTTGTTACAGTTAGAGTAGCTCGATATGTACGGAACACATTCACTGGTGCTGACAGATTCTGAAAAAGAAATAAAATTTCACACAATGTAACTTTGAATAACTGAAATAAATTACTGATTAGGGCTGTCACTAGAGCCAACTATTTTATATCGCTTGGTCCGTGAAATTGAACGTAATCAAATGTAATTTTTTCAAATAACAAAAATATACAATCCGTACAAATTTGACGACTCCGTGGCGCAGTAGCTTAGCTATGAGTGGCTACACTGAGGGCCGCGGGTTCGAATCCCGCTCGGAACAAGTATTTGTATGGCCTACAAATAATTGTTCCGGGTCTGGATGTTCGTCCTTGTGCAATTTATGTTTGTAAACTGCCTCCACGATAAAGGAAAAAATCCTAGTGTGGGGTAACGTTTTATAAAACTGAGAATAAAAAAATAAAAATGAGAATATGATCACCAGGTTTAGTGAGGGTTCGAATCCTGGTTCGGGCCAAAATGAGTTATTGGGTTTTTCTGTCAAAAAATTCTCAGTAGCAGTTCGAATCAGGAAGTTATCTGTGTTGCAGCCATGTGCCTGTGCCCAGAAAGCACGTAAAGTCGTAGCTCCGACCTATCTCTTCTTCCTTTTTATATACTCATCGCACTCAAAAGGACTTAACCGCTTTAGGGAATTTATTATGGTGTACCTACTTCAAATACCTGCCCATGGTCGCCTCGTTGGTCAAATGGTCGTAAGCGCGGTTGTTGGTCATGAAGTCTTGGGTTCGAATCCCGGGTCAAGACAAAATCAATTATGGGGTGTTCTTGTCAAGAAGTTCTCAGACGCAGTCTTGAGTCACTAAGTTAGCGGTGTTTCACCCACGTGACGAAAATAAGTAAATGCGTTTGTCTTGCGCGTGATCTTCACCACATAGTATGTAATCACTCATCACTACTCAACCACACAGTAATTAATCACCACAATACATATTTTAAAAGTTACAAGTTTAATATAAGGCAGTGTAAGTATTTACTCCCCATATCATCTTTTGGGTGTCGTTAAAAACGACAGAGCGAAACTAAAACAGGAGTTCGGTGGCAGCTTCTTCTTGATATTAACTCAAATATAAAAAAACCGATGTTGCCAAACCACTTGCCAAGAGTGACAACTTTAGCAAAATATTACCCATGCGGCAATCTATGGGGAGGCGAAGGTTCAGCAGTGGACTTTTATAGACCGTAATAGAAGTAAAATATATGTTTATAGCTAAATAATATTCATAAAAAACCTTGTGAAGTGAGATCAAACAGCAATTCGTCAACTTTTGTTCTCAAAGCGGGATTGTCATCCGTCGTATTCTGGTTTTCTTCTTGTAATATTGCATCCACTTCTCTGTAGTAGTCACATTTTGCGTCCCCCATTGGCAAGCAGCTGGATACATCGCAACGTGTGCAGACACTTTCATTCGTTCGACGAAAGAAAGGGTCAACTGCCTTGGGATAGTGGATCTCCCCAGGCTGTTGTAAAATAGCAGATGATACACCTTAAAAATATTAATAATTTAATTTTTTTAATAGATCATGTTTAATGTCCATGTCACACCTATGCCGGTAGTTGTTGGCAGCACTATGCTCGAAGTTGTTGACGAGTACGTTTACCTGGAACAAATAGTCCGACTAGGTAAGTCCAACTTCGACCGAAAGGTCAATCGACGGATTCAACTCGGCTGGGCAGCGTTCGGGAAATTACGACATATCTTCTCGTCAGGTATACCTTAATCTCTAAAAACTAGATTATACAACCAGTGCGTGTTGCCAGTGATGACTTACGGATCTGAGACGTGGTCCTTCACTGCTGGCCGTATGAGGACGCTCAAGGTCGCTCAGCGAGCTATGGAGAGGGCTATGCTCGGAGTTTCTCTGCGTGATAGACTCAAAAATAAGGATATCCGCAGTAAAACCAGAGTGACCGACATAGCCCAACGGATTAGTAAGCTGAAGTGGCAATGGGCCGGCCATATAGCTCGAAGAACCGATAACCGATGGGGAAGAAAGGTTCTCGAGTGGCAGCCTCGTACCGGTAGGCGTAGTGTAGGGCGACCCCCCACTAGATGGAGTGACGACCTGGTAAGATATGCAGGAAGTCGATGGATGCAGGTGGCTCAGGACCGTGCTTTGTGGCATTACTTGGGGGAGGCCTATGTTCAGCAGTGGACTTGTGAAGGGCTGTAATGATGATGATGATGATGATGAATAGAATAAGGGTGACAAACGATGAGTACATGACAGACAGTACGGCAGAGCCGTGCTGCAGCCACACTGTAGCTGAGTTGTAGCACGAATGGGTCGGCTTGATCGAGGGAGGAAACGAGGCGTTCCATCTTAGTCCTTACGGGTGGTGTGGAAGGTGTAAAACAACGCTTTTAAACGCGTGAAACGTTCAGTGAGAATATGAACTTACAACAAATTGAAAAAACTGGGTTCAAAGAAAAAACAAATAGTATATATTTAAATATAATAAACACATTCTAAACTCGGTACTAAGATATAGCGTAAAGAAGAAAAAGTCCCGCCTGCAGAATGTGAAATAATTATTTTTAACTTTCCGCGAAGAAAATTCCTCCCTGCTATTTGGAGTGATAAAAACAAAGAAACCAGAATACCTATATGAAAAGCTTCAGTGGAGACAAATTCAACATATGTACGGTATCCGAAAGTGTGCAAAAGTACTTTGCATACCTCAACATAGGACATCAGCATTTCGTTGTAGTTACAAATTTATGGCCACAAAGTGTTGGAATGATCTTCCACCACCATTACGAGTCATTAGTAGAGTATTTATTAAGTACGCAGAAAATGTCATAAATATAAAATAAAATGAAAAAATTCTTCAGGGGCTGAATATCCCATATTTAGTTATATGCAATTATGTAACTTACATTTACTACCAATATTCTTTTTAATAACCATTACGTTGTTCTAGCATAATTATTATAATTACTCTGAATAAATAAAAACTACTGTAGCTCTTATTTTTAATATTATTATTTTTTTCATGTTTTTGTTTATATTTCGTTTATATTATGTTTATCTCTTGTACATGTATATTAATTATCAATTTATTAATAGAAATATTATGAAAACTTGTACTGGTTAATTATATTATAGTTCTTGTACTGGCTGAATGAATAAATAAATAATTTAACACTAAAAGCTATTTGTAATATAATCAGTGATGTACGCGTACTGTTATACTCTAGCTCACTAAGTAGGTATATGGGTGCTGACGGAATAACAGCTTTGTAGATTTTCTGCAACACATACTGATTCAGAACCCTTTCATTGTCCTTCTAAAAATATCATTTTTGTATTGGTTTAACTTCCCGGCGAGCATGAGCCAGGGTATCACACACTCTGATAAAATTTCAAGGTGGTGTATTTTTTTAAAAATCTTGTCTGGAAACTCTAACTTGCTCAGTAGCTGGAGTGCTGGGCGCGTGGGGCGGGTTAGTGGCGTGATCGCACTACGACTTTATTCTATGGTGTCTTGAACATGGCAGCTATCAATGCTTGCATTATATTTATATCGAGCAAAAAAAAACGTCACAATCAAGAGAACGGAATTCATTTGTAATTTTATTTTTTCGTGATTAATAATTTTTTTTAATTCGTGATTTACGAACACCTACAATAAAGAAAATTAAAAAAGCATATTCTAAGCTACATCCGCCAGCGAATCTTAAAACAGTTCGGTGAGCCCTCGCCTAGACATGTGAATATACCCGGGCGATATGTCAGATGTCAGAATTGTCCATACAAGGAGGGTAGAAAAACCAAATATTCCTAGAATGCTTGTGCCAAGCCCATATGTATGGAGCACGCAAAATGTATTTGCGAAAATTGTGCTGATTTCGACAGTGGTGATTAACCATAATTTTTAATTAAAAAAAATTAATAATAAGTTTTTTACAAGGAGGATCTCACTATGTTTTAATTTTAGGTTGATTTACACTCCAAAAATAATATTTTTGTTAAATTATAAATTTTTGTAAGTCCTTAAACTTTTGTTTCTTTAATTACAAAGTTTATGAAAAACATGATTATATAATAATAATTTCACAATTAAGAACTTGTTTCATTTAATTCTATTAAATCATTCATTATTTTACATAATAAAAGTAAAAATAATAATAAGAACTTAAATATGGTACATTAAATTATGGGTATGTCCCACCCTGCCACATTCTCGATGTACTTTTTTAACCTCATGCTCGCCGGGTTTTAAATATTTTATTACTTTTGGTCAATGAATAAATATTTTATTATTATTATTATTATTATTATAAATTGAAAATTTTCAAAAATAATGTGTGTGTGTGTGTGTGCGTGCGTGCGTGCGTGCGTGCGTGCGTGCGTGCGTGCGTGCGTGCGTGCGTGCGTGCGTGTGTGTGTGTGTGTGTGTGTGTGTGTGTGTGTGTGGCGCGTGCGCGCGTGTAAGTATGTAAACCTTTCATAACTTTTGAACGTCTTGATCGATTGAGATGAAAAACGTTTTTAACATAACTTCCAGATTTCGCAACATAATTTGGTGAAATTTGGAGCACTCTGCACTTGAAATTAGTGGAAATTTCCGGGGATGGCCTGCAGGATCAACCAATTTTTTTATTATTATTTATTACTTTGAATCTGGCTTTTACTTTTTGTTAAAAATATCTTTAACCATTTTATTGGATAGGAATATCACAATCTCAATATTGTTTACATTAAGAATTTATTTTCTAAACTTGTCCTTTATATTGTCACATTTTTTGTGGAATTTTTTTATCAAACTTATATGCGAAAAACATAGTCATAGTCCAATTGAAAATCTTCTTCTTCTTTAAAGCGGCTAAAATGGCGGTATGATTTAGTGACAAATAAATTATTCATAATTCAATCCGCCTAATGGTAGTTTCTGTGGTTCAACATACCTTTTTTACATGAAGAAATGCCTATGCATACCCGCCTCGCGCGTGCAAGAACTGGTTATGTTGCCTTGACTTGACTCGTACTGACTAAAATCCCATGGCGGTCCACCTTCATCGCGTATTGGCAGGGCCACGGGAATGCTTTCACACATCCGCGGCCCCATCAGCGCCGACCGCCACATGGCAGCCCCTCTTCGCATCGGGAGAGGGCTACTCCTCTCCCATCTCCGTCTCAGTTAGGATGCATCAAAATACAAGGAAGGCCTTCCTCCGCGGCCTCAAACTTCACTTGTGCAACGGACGTCCCCCGTGTCCGATGCGGCTGCAGAGGATAGGGAAAGCGGCGATGCCTACCGCCAACTTTAAACAAAGAAGGCTGTGTATGCGTTGCCACCTCGAGGACTAAGACGTAATGTCTCACAGCCAGTAATGATATTGGCTGTCTATAAATTTCCGACCGAAACAGATGAGGGCAGGTACTGGTGGTAGAAATAGACAAGTGAGTGCTACATACCTAAACGAAACTTAGTCAGAAAAAGATACCTAGTGAGGAAAAGTAAAACCAAATATTTTAAAGCACGATTAGATTTCATCTCAATGTGTTTCATTGTTATTCACCACACCCGAAAAATACCACCACTGAACGTGGGCCTCTCTAATTGTCAGCAGGATTGATGGTGATGAATGACTATATGATATGAATGACAAAAAAGACTGAAAGAATAATATAAACAAAGAGTTTCAAAGAATCCCAGCGTAAAATAGCAGCTTAATACTGCTGTGTTTTGTATAGTGAGTGTAGAGAACCGGTTACAGGCATTCCATCTTAGTCCTCAAGAATGACAACGCATCTACATTTTGATTCTTAAGCGTTGATAAATGTACATTGTCTATAGGCCTCAGTATCCATTTACCATCAGTGGCTCGGATGCTTATTCTATAAAAAAAGTGACTCTCACCGAAGGCGATGCTTATGGTTAACAGGAAAACGGATAAGCTGTACATAGCGACAAAGTGACGCGTGAACAATGCTGTATCGGATTTCTTAACAATTCAACATGTTTATGAAATCGTGCATTTCACGAATGGGACGTACTTGAAGTATTAAATTAAGAATTTTTCAAAAAAACGGTACTAGGAGTAACACTAAGATTTTCTCATGTATCGTGAAGGTAGTTCATATAATATATGAGTACCTGGATGACCGAGCTTTGCTCGGTTTTTTTTGGAAATTAAATTTGAATACAAATTACATACTGATGAAATATGAATATTATTTTTTGATTTTATTGACATAATAGAAAAAACTGAACTGGTTATTTGAATAAAAAATCATGAGTGCAATTAGTTTAATTAAAATTTTCGTATTTAATAAAATACTAAAAAAAGGGCTCGAAATAATAGATTTTCTCACAAAAGAAGGGAACTTGAAAAAAAAAAGGAAAAAAGTCGGAACGAAGACAGGACGCGAACCAAGGCGATACGATTTCGCGACCGCTCGATATCCACTTGAGCTATTACGCTCATTAACACAGCGTCAAAATTTACCTTCTTATATTGTAGCAGTTTTTCATTGCTTGAAAACACTGACATAAAGACATTTTCTAAAAATAAATCCTAGCTAGATCGATTTACTGCCCCCGAAGCTCCCTGAACACTAAATTTTATAAAAATCGTTGGAGCCGTTTCAGAAATACCGATTATATATACATATTATATATATATATATATATATATATATATATATATATATATATATATATATATATATATATGTATAGAAGTCATTTACCTCTCCCATTGTTAGGAGTATTCGCCCCAATAGCCTTGGTAGATGTCTCATTCGCTTTCCCGCTAGTTTTCTTGCTGGTTCTTCTCAGGAAATATTTTTTACATATTTATTATTAGAACGTATTTTCTGAATCAGTGCTAAAGCTTAAATTACTTTCAATAAGTTTTCTCAGTTTTTTTACATCTAGCGTAAACTGTGATGACTACAACGCCATCTATTGGATGCCAAAAGATTTAGATATTGACGTGGAAGAGCCACGCTGTTATATCAGCTTAAAATAGCAGTTTTATGCTGCTGCGTCTCGTTATGTGCGTGTAGAGAACCGTATAGTCTGCTCACTAAGATTGTGTCGGTACTTTCGGCCTTTGACAAGACGTGGCACGTGCTAAGGCGGCGCAAGACAAAGACGATCGTATCTAAGTGATCGGATATAGACACTAACGCATTTGAATTTTGGTTTTCAATCGAGGATAGATGTAAGTGTCTAAGCGTTACAGCATTCTCTTACCATGAAAAGGACTGTGTGATAGTTTATCACTCTTACTCTTTCAAAAAATATACAATTAAACTTTTAATTTTTATCTCGTTTTCGGTCTTGAATGGAAAAGAAGAGCTGTCCCGCCGGGCAAAATCAGTCCGAGAAGCAGCCAACACTCGTGTTTTTCACCAGAACTTTTGACAGTGTGATTTAGGCTTTTTTATGCCGACGTTATGGATTTAAATTCAAGAATCTTAAATAAAAATAATATTAATAGAATTTAATATTTATTAACCTACTAGCTACCTACTACCTGCCCTACCTAGTCACCTATATAATATAGAATTTCATCTATGTACTAAAAAATAATAAGTTAAAGGATCCGCAAAAGATCCGCCAAAAAGTAACGGATGCGGATACGGATCTTTCTTTTCCCTCGCATACTCGCGGATGTGGTTACGGTTACGGATATCCGGCTCATCACAAATTGACATTAATTATTTCCCTCCCAAATACGGATCTGACCAAGAAATGTGTATTTCTTCCGTGTTTACAAACAAGCACCGCGTGATGTCGGCGTTATTGTTACGCGGCCGCATAATACGTCCCCGACGACGACAGCGAGAATGCTGCTGCTTGTGCTCCTGTTACATAATGCGGTAGCTAGTGGTGAGTACTTGTTGCATACACTCGTTAGCTTTTAGAATAAGGGTGACAAGCAAACGCACAGACCACCTGATGGTATGTGAAAGCTGCGGCACATGGACATCTACATCTACATCTATCTAAATGACGCATGTCAATATTTTTTATATTGTTCTTTATTGCATGCCTTAAAAAATAATACAAAGGGCGATTTCAATGCCTTGAGACATTTTTTTGACTTAATTTGACGTATGTATATCAATATACTCGTAGAATACTCGTAGAAAACAAAATAAAAATGATAATTAACAACGCTATATATACACATTTTACTAATGTATATTTACATACATAATTAATACATGCAAATTACTATGAATATATACGTGTATGGAAGATTCATGTAAAAAGCGTTGCCTTTAATAGATGATTACGTACCACCTTATTAAAACCATATTTATTGGGTGCTTTTTGATCTCATCTGGCAAGAAGTTGCAAGGACATGTAGCCTGAACTGTATAGGAGTTACCATAGAACTCGGTGAAGTGAAATACAGATTTTGTTGTTAGAGAAAGAATGTAGATTAGAGAAGGTAATGCAGTTTACTCTTAAGATAATAAAGCGAAGATGGAAAAGAAAACATTTAAATTAAAAATTATGACATTGACGTTGCAAATTATGACTATAAATTATATAAATAACATTAAGAGAAAAAGTTGACAATTTAGAATTTATTATTACCTATATTTGATAATTTGGAAAAGTTTGCATGCTTACTGTAACAACATAATACTTACCCTATTTATGACAAAAAAGGAATTCGAATTTGGATATCTTCGACAGTATTTGACATGAAATAAGCACTTCAAAACCAACTTACTTAAATTAAAATTATTAACTTACTAACTTGAAAAACAACAAGGCGTTTCATAACTATGCCACTAACACACTCGCTTGTTACTTTTCATAAGATAAGGGTATCATAAGACACACGCTACCCCTTTTTTAGGATAAGGTTGAAAATCGAGACTAAGTCCACCTGATGGTAAGTGGTTGCTGTGATATACCGATAGACATTTTCATGCATTCTCGATTACGAAACAAAATGCAGAAGCGTTGTCACCCGTGAGGACTAAGATGGAATGCCTCGTTTCCAGTAAAAATGGTTTCCGCTTCTCTTCACTACTTCGAAGCGTTTAAGTTATTTTACGCTGGTACTCTGTGAGAGCGTGGTCCTTCCCCGGACAAGCCGGTCTATTCATGCTACAACTATACCAGTCATATAGTTGGAACATGGCCCTACCACGTGCAAAACACCTGATGATAAGTGGAAGACCCTTAACATAAACTAAATCTATCCTCAGTTAAGAACCAAAATGCGAATGCGTTGTCACTCTTTGAACTAAGATGGAACGCCTCGTTTCCAGAAAAAATGGTCTCCGGTTCTCTACACTTACCATAAGAAACACAGGAGCATTAAACTGTTATTTTACGCTGGTATTTTGTGAGCCTGAGCTTTGATAACACTTGAGTTATTGAGACTACATGAGAATTTGCTGGGAGTTATTTAATTTTAAACACGTTTAGACTTTCGCGAAGTTTGTTTAGCTTTGAAACCGCTACTCGTAATAACGTAGAACTAAACTGCAACCAGATTTTGACTGCAATAATATCTATGTATGTGTGTGTGGATCACTAACAATAGGGTATTACAGCCATTTTCAAAACGTGTTTTAAATGAATCCTAGATTGATAACGAACCACTATAATTTTTATATAAATTTTTTAAACCGAATAGTGCCATAAAACTTAATACATGCAAAAAATTTTGCCACCAACAATTTAGGTATCCTTGGTAGATTAGTACTTTCTGCTTTTACGAATCCGTCTTCCAAGATGCCTTTTCAATAAAATTCGGAATAAAACTCAATAATTGTTATGATAACTTGAAAATTTTCGAAATAACACAGCACATTAACTAGTTCTCTTAATCAGTGACACAGAACACTAGTAACCTTAGGAGGGATCAGTGACGTCACGACAGTATATAATGTGGCGATCAGCATTTTGCAGATTTGAGGCACAGGCAAAAAAATTCTTAAAATTGAAATATTATAAATAAAAATCAGTATTTCTCGTTTACTTTTTACAAAATCTATCATAAATATATATTTTTTTAACATGGTGTAAAATACCCTATTCATATAAAAGAAGAAAATGTAATATATGTAAAAAAGTAACCCATACTTTGATGATTTTTTTTAATTACACGAATACTTGAGATTGAATAAAATAAATTTTACAGATTTTAACGCGTTTAATTTAACCTATTTTTAATGTCACATGTTCCAGATGCCTAACAACACACATGATCAAGTGGTAAGGTGGGAAAATATAAAAAAGTTAAATTAAACGCGATAAAATCTGTAAAATAAGTTCTATTCGTTGTTTTTTTTTATGCGGGTGGTATTTTTAGAGTGAGAATTGAGAAACCAGTATTACTGCGACCTAAAAGATCTATTATGATCGCTGATAAGGCTATAGTTCACTGCTAAGACCTATGTCTTCAATGAACATGTGTTTTGGGCTCTTGCCAGAATGCGCAATTTATTTTTACCTAATCCTAGGGCCTCTGCAGCGAATTTACGATCAAAAGTCCGAATTAAGGTTTCAGATTTTTTTAAGCACCAGGCCTAATAGACCAGATCTTAAGTGATTTATTGTAGTAAAGAGTTTCAAGGGTCAATCGGGCTAGGCTTTTTGAGATTTCAAAAAATGGCTCTGGTTACTCTGAGCTCTCCCGTGCGAACTTGTCGGCAATTTCATTGCCTACTATTTTCATTGCCTACTATTCTCGCGAAACCCGAAACCAATCTTAACAAGACCTCGTTTCGACGTTCACGCAGTCTCCAACTAGCTTCGAGCTTACTAAGTTTGATCTCAGTGCTAGCAGTGCTGCTTGACTATCAGAATTTATATAGATTATATGGTTGACGTAATATTCTTGCAGATTTATTTCTGAAGTATGGCGAAAATTTCTGCCTGGAATATATAGGTGTATCTATCCAAATTCATACCAAGTTTGAATTTAGGGCCTTCCCCATAACTTCCTAAGCCTACGTCGAGGCCCATTTTAAAGAATCAATATACAATATAAGGCTACCGACCTCAAATATAACCTTGGACAGATAACTTGTCCATTCAGCCAGTCTTCTCTGAAGGTTAATTCCACTATGTATGTTTGGTTAAACGTGTGTAGTGCTGGTGGCACAGGACCGTGCTTTTTGGCATTCCTTGGGGGAAGCCTATGTTCAGCTGTGGACTTGTGAAGGGCTGTAATGGTGATGATAATGATGGAACTCAATCTATAGCAAAGCAAGCTATGACCGCCCTGGACGTTACTCCTATATAAAGCGCGCAGACTTCTTTTGGTTGGCCTTATTACACCAGACAGTAGAGGCGTAGGTACGAGTCGGCCTATCTATGCTGCTGTACAGCAATAGGAGTACACTGGGACGCAAGCGCCAGTTGTTCCAAATCCTACCTAAAGCACATATCCAATGCGATTTCAACATTATGACACGTTGTTAAGGTGAGAGTTCCACGTTAGTTTTTGGTCGATTGTTACGCCCAAGTACTTAACTTCAGTGGAGAATGGTACTACTTTACCATTAAGTTTTGCTGTGACTAATTTGTCCAACCTTTTTTTTGTTTGTTAAAAAGCATTAAATACATTAACTGATAAACTGCTATCCCTACACCAATTATTTATGATGTTTGGGGCTCTTTGTATGATTAATGATAAAGTACTTTGGCAAAAACTCTTCACAATGCTAACAAGATTAAGATTGAGTCAACGAAGTCAAGAAGGTGACAAAACACCTCA